TCGATTCTTCTCTCGCCGAGTCTTTTGTGGAATCGCACGGAATCCGCAGCCAATTTCACAAAGCAACGAGACAGAACGAGTGGGAAAATGTTTCAATCAAGAGCTGTCACGCAACTTGGAAAAGTACTACATAGGGAGAATCTCTGCCGCTGACCACTACCAGGCTCAACCAAAGTTGTACATCAAAAGAAATATACACATATTGAGCTAATGCCTTCTATGAGTGGTGAACTTTAAAAAATACTCTGTGAAGAAACCGCATCTCAGGAGGGAACAATAATAATTACAATTTCTGTATATTTTTTACAAGTAAAAAGTTTTGAAGGATAAATAATTTGAAGTTAAATTTAGAATTTTATAATATTCCAACAGGACTATTAATAAATAAGTCGTCAAGAGTGCAGTGGATGAATTTGGAATTACTAATTTTTTAAATTTGTATAATATACTATTTCCATTCCAAACTAATACATACATATTATTTCATTACTTTTTTTTAAACTTTTGTAATCGCTTTTTCACTGATGATTTTGGGGGCCCATAATATGTCCGAAATAATTGTGTCCGAATCCGGAAAAATAAAGTGTCCGAAAATAATGTGTCCGAAATATTTTTGTCCGAATTTTTTTAAAAATTTTCTCCGAAAATACTTCATCCGAATTTTTTTTCTCCGAAAAATGGTTCATCCGAAATTAAACTGTCCAAAATTCAGTTGTATGGTAATGCATAGTATTCTTATTTATTTAATTCACAGCCCGTTAAAAATAACGTCATGATTTTCTCACGCCCTTTATCTTGAAGTCTCCCAGCTGTCGCCGGAATTGACGCAACTATTGAAATTTACGACGAGAAATTAATTAAAGAATTCGGGGGCAAGAGCGAGCGTGTAATTACTATAGGCGTTTTCCTTCCTTGCCAGCGGGGGATGATGTGGCGAAAATATTTGCGTCGTCCCATGCGATCATTAATGGAAATGTGCGTGCATTATGATAAAGCGGCAATTACCGCGAGTGTCTGCTGCAGACGGACGAGTTATTATTAATAATAAAGTCTCTCTCTCTCTCTCTCTCCGTGAGACAAGACTCGAAAATCGGCGCAGCATCCGCGCCCTTGCACCCCCTTTGCGCCGAGAGCAGCACCCCCGCCGCGATTCGGATGGAAAGAGCTGCACGCATAAAGTGCGAAAGCCTTTTAGCCGACGCGTCAAAAAACAACAAAATGTGTCATCCACAAGCATCAAAAACGCAATTTGCAAAACAGTTTACACCCGAAGCAAAGTTGAAAAAAAAAACATCTAAAAATAAATAGAAGAGAAAAATGGCTACAAATAAAAAACCCAAGTACTTATCAATGCGCCGAGCTTTTAATCACCCCTGCCGGTTGTTGGTTAATTATCTCAATTTACTGCGTTGCTAATTAGAATATTCTAACAATCTAATCTTTGTTTACATACAAACAGTATGTGTTTTCCACTGATTTTGCCTTGAAGTAAGGGAAGCAGGAAGTAGGAAGATAAGTTGTCCGACTTGGATAAAGTGGATAAGGATATCAGTTCTGTCGTCTGGAAGAAACGAGTTAATCGCCTCAAAAGCTGATAACTAGAATAAAACTCGTATTAAAAACATCCAATTTAATACAACTGAGCGTTCGGAAATCCCAAGTTTTACAAATTTATAAATTGAATATCGTATCTAAACCCCCACTAGAGTGTCCTTAGATTTCGGACTGCAGCTAAAAAACAAAATTGATAGGGAGTTGAGAAATTTATCCAAAATCTCTACATGATCAACGCTCAGCTTGCATAGCCTACAAAACTAACTTTTATTGAAATGTTTTAAATGAGACAAAGATAAAATTTAAATTATATTAATAATTTTTTGTAAGATATATAAAAAAACAGGGGCGCGCATTAGTTCAATCGGAAATTAGGATTTTCTCAATGTATTCAACAATTGAAATTTTACTGGCCTAAATTTGGTTTTATTTGATTATTGTAAAAATTGTTACCAAAACCTTTTATAGTTTCAAGTATATTGAGGCATATTTTTTAATGAATTCAGCCTCTGCAGTTTCTGAAAAATTCGTACAAACTATAAGCAAGTGGGTTTAAAAATTGAAAAAACCCACCCAAAAAATTTAAATTTTTGTTTAATCACAGCTTATTTTCAAACATTAAAAAATTCTCGTCCGAAACCAAACCGTTGCTTCTGGTTCAATTGTGTTTTGACTGACAGAGTTCACGCCCTTGATTTTACTTTTCCCTTCGACTCGAGCCGGTGAGAAGCAGTACATCCGTCCAAATTACCACCTTTTTTTATCTCGCCCTCTCAGCATCGCTCTCTGCATCAGTCAGCAATCATCAAACCGACTGCTGAGCGCGTTTGGCCTGTTTGTTACGAGTAAAAGCTGCTGCTGAGATAATAATGTGAAGTTTGAAAAGACGAGACAAAGACAAACTCCCGCGGCGGCGGGCGCGCGAGCTAGCGAATCTTGATATGCTGCCGCCGCGAATATACGCAGCTGCCTTGATTCTCTTATCTTCCGGTGTGTGATTGCTCGCTGAATAATTGTCGAATAAAAGCTGCTGCGGAAGTCGGCCGGTCTGTATAGGCATCTGCAGGCACCACCCAGCTCGCGCAGCCCTTCTTCTTCTTTGGCTGCTTCTTCGATCTGCTTTTTCAAAAGTTTTCCAACCGACTTTCGCGTGCATTCTTCCGTCGCGACAGGGGGCGTTGCATAGCCAGTTCCGTGCGACTCTTCGCCCCGGGCCATCATCGTCCGTCTGCAGCGCGCCCTGTCATTATTCGGACGCGGCAAAGTACTCATTAAAAAGTCGCCGAGTCTCCTCCTGCGCCGCGGACAAAGGTGCTCTTCCGCTCTTCGCTGCTTCGGCACAATGAGCGTGAATTAATAGGTCATTCTCGCGGTGCAGAATATACAGACGTTACCCCCGAATGAAATGGAATTTTGATTAGGAATAGAAAAAAAATCGCTTTCCCATCGCTGAAAATGCCATAGTGAGATTTATCAAGTAGAGAAATCAAACGGATCCGTTTGTGTTAAAAAAAATCGGGTAATGTAACTTCAATTTGCTCCAGTTGTTGTTGGTGTATTTTTGTTTCAAGGAATGAACTATAAAAAGAAAGAAAATTTGTATTGTTATCTTCCTGTATAAGAAATTAAACTAAATGCAACATCAGGCTTGATTCCTATTTTTTTATAAATTTGATTTCAGGTTAACCTTGTTCTTAAAATCGGAAAAAATAAAAAATTAATTATGATGAGGATTTGTGTAATTTTCAAAATGCAACCCGCTTGACGCTGCTGTTATAAAGGTTGCATACTTCAGTGAACCAAGGGGCATCTGATGCTGCCCACAGATAAATGAAGGAGGTTTTATAATAATGCATCAAATTTATAGTAATTTATCTTTTACTGCAAAAGAATTTGAAATATCTTCAACCACTCTCCCTTCATTTTGTGTCGACTTTCTTTTATCGTCGACTTTTTTATAAAAATAGCCCAAGGTTTTTACTTTGTATCTGAAGAAAAGTTCTCCTTATCAATGACAAATAATTCATGTTAATATTAAGTCTATCGGAAATTCCGGGTGGGATTAAGCGGATTTTGTTTTCTGCTGCGGTCTTGAAAAACCACAATATCCTTTCTTTGTATTCTTGCGTAAATACAAAAATTGGAGGTCTCATTATATTTAAATTTATTCAAAAATGTTTTCTTTTCTTAACTTTGTTATTTTATGTGTGCTATAATACATATAATTATGTGTTAAGCTGGTGTTAAGGATTTTCTCTCTTTTCCACGGATACTTTGATTTTTCACAATTTCTTGAATTTCGTCTATGCAGGGAACAATAGAAATAAATCTTTTGCAAATGCACTCATCTTAACAGATTTCACGCAAAAAAAACAAACAAAATGTAGTCAATCGAATAAATAAATATATATGAAAGAATGAATGAAAAAATGGGATTCCAATACTCATTTTCAATGATAAAACATATTATATTATTTCAAAATTCAATATTAAAAATAAATAAATAACAGAAATCGAAAAAAATACAGTTCCCATTTATATAGACTTTGAATTTATCGGTTGCTGTGAAATTTGTCTGTCTCTCTAATTTGGCAAATGAATGTACCAAACAGTTAATCACTGTGCCCGCACCCCCTCTTGACGTGATGCGATTGACTCGTGATTTTGGAGCATTAACGCTCATAATGGGGCCGCACTCATGGATATACAGAGGCGCGGCGCGCATGACTCTCTGTACGAAGCTGCTGCCGTTTGCGTAATACGTTGGTAATTCGCCACGGGCTGTTTGATTTAGTGCGGCAGGAGCCAATATGTTGCACACTGTGCGCGCCAGCTCCGAGCCGGGGTCAAATTAATTTCAGGCACATCTGTGATGTATTGATAAGCTGCTTTGCTGGGCCGAACGAAAATTCACCAGCCGCGAACAACGACAGAGAGAGAAAGATGATTTATGCGCTTTGTTTGTTGTCGTCTGGCAGCCGAGCGAATCGAAATTCGCAATTAGAGATATCGGGGAAAACTTTGCCAAAATATATCCAAATTATCTGCAGAGTAAATCACTGTATTGACATTTGTCATGAACTCCCATATCCGAATAGGCCACACAAGCTGATCAAACTGCAATAAAAAAAATGTGTAACAAAAAATAATCCGGAGAAGGAAAATTCTATGCGTATGTCGGAGATGCTTTAATTAGAGACGATAGCGGCGTGCGTGATTTTTTTTTCGCGAGAGAACTTTGACCCTTTTGCGGTTTTTGTTGCAATATGTGCCGGGGCCGATTTTCTCTCTCTCTCTCGTCCTCGGCGCGGCGGCCGCGATCGATCAGAAGCAGAGCTGCTGTGCTGCGGATGAGGATGAGATTGGGCTCTCTCCGGGGGTGGCCCCGCCCCCCGCGACTCCGCCCTCGGCCGAGATGCGAGCACATCTCCGCCGAGATTTCCTCGCTAGCTCAGTCAGTCGGTGCGAACGCGACGCGTGAGCTAGGCAGGCGCGCACGATCGACCTGGTGTGCAAATGTGAGCGACAAAAATTGCTGTAGAGAAAAAAAGAGCACGGAGGAAGCACCGATTTGCAGTCAGAGCCCAATGGACCTCAGCACTCACGCACTGCAAGGTAGGCTGCCGTGTATGGGTTTTTTTTATCTAATTTATAAGCGCATTAAAACCGATAAAAGCCATAAAAGAATGAATTTATAAAAAAAAGTTGAATTCTGAATTTAAATATAATTGGTATTGGAAGATTAATTTAAATACTTATTGTATTTAAATGAAATTATCTGATTGTTTGCCCTTATTCAAAGGTTTATTAAAGGGGGGGGGGGGGTCTTAGAAATTCCATATGAAAACTCGTTAAATTCATTTTATGATTGAATAAAGCGAAATGTAAAAGATTTTTGTTTTCGCTTTCATATTTATGTTGCTGTTTATCGAAGTACGTAGAAATTTTACTTAAAAATAATTCAAACTAATTGTTAGTAATTAGTTTAATATTATCATTTAATTTGTAATGTTTATTATTAAAAAAATTTAATTTTTGAAGGATGGACTACGTGAGAGTTATTTCATTTATCAAATAGATATATTCTCTTTTGCAATATCACCTAATTTTTATTATTAATTAAAGATCACATTTCATGATCATGAAGATCTTTACATTCCATTCATTTATAGAGTTATAATCTTTTTATTTTCATAATTTTTTTCTGTTATCCTTGGAAAACAATTTTTTTAGTTTATTTTGGTTGAAAAATAACTTAACGTTTTTCATCTCCAATCCGATTTTCTGAGTAAATAATCGGCAATAAAATAATCACTCACTCTCTCTTCTCGTTATCAACTCCGCCCAGCAGCCTCTTTATGTTTTAATAGCAAAAAAGCTGGCACGAAATCCCGCCGCTCTCCAGATTAAAACAATAATAAAATTTGACGACGTGTTTGTCCGCTCGTAAAATCACTAAAACTTTTCCCACTTTATCACCGCGCGACGAGACGAAAATCCCCCATGCTGCAGTCTGGAGAGAGAAATAAAAAGATTCGTCGCGCCGAGACTAGCGGCGGCAGATGATCCGAATTGGTCGATTGGCCACGCTCGCGAGTTTGTCATCTGCCCGTCCGTGTGCCTAATCGCCCATCTGACGACTCAATCCGGCCACATTTGAGCCGCTTCATTATGACTTTAGTTAATTACCACCGATTATTTCCCTTGGGGATGTAATTTATGATTTTAATTGCAACCAACCCCAACCTGAAACCAATTCAACAAAATTCGGTATTGCTTCGGTTTAAAAATTAGTGAATTTTACTATTTTTTCTGTTGCATCAAATTTTTAAAAGTGCTTTTTCAATATTTTTTAAATTTATTTTGAAAGAAAAAAAACATTTTTATTTCAAATTTTATTTACTTTTTGATTGGGTACCAATTTGAGCTCTGACTGACCGCTTGGGGGCGTGTTATGTCTTTCGGCAGATCGCGACGAGGAGCAGCAGCCGCCGGCCGCAGCACAACCTTCTTCTTCTTCTTCGGACAACGCCGCTCATCAGGAGACGACGCCCGTGAAACAGGAGGTCGACGCCGAGTCGCCGGCCGAAGTGGCCGCCGCAGCTGCAGCCGCTGGCCTCATGTGGCCGCCTCATCCACTGCGTCTGTCTCAGCTGATGGCCGCTGGAAAATTGGTGCCCACCTGGCCGCACGACCTCTTCGACCACCACAAACACCCTTTCGACGTGAGTACCTTCACCTGCACTCAGGGTAGGGCGGGACAGTTTCAATTGCGGAGCCAAATTGCTTAAAATCAAGTTTTATTTTTGTTAATTCTTTCGTAAAATCAAATATAACATGGGATGGTGGAAATCCTTTATCAATATTTTGATAATCAACCTAATTTTTTCATCCTTTTATTTTCTATTTTGGTTAAAATTAAACTTTCTCTTTACACTTTTTATACTAATAATTTTTATTGACTTCTTTTAAATTTTTAAGAAATAAGCAATTTTTGGTGATTCGAAATTGAAACTGCAATTCTAACCAAATGTTTGATTACTTTTATTAAGTTGTCTCATTATTATGCAATTCAATTTTGGGCAAAACAAAGTTATGCAACCGGGCGGTCGTTCTTGTCATGCCGGTTGCCTACGCATTCATCGGCCAGGCGAATTATATTATTTCGGTTTCGCGTGTCTGCGAGTGATACCGCCGAGACAATTAACCTTATCACCTTCTCCGGCGTACATATAAATTTCGAGTCCAATTTCCATGTAATTGCCTCTCGCGACGACCGCATCTTTTCCAATTAACCTTCCTTCCTAGAGCATTATATAGTTGGGGAGGGGGGATTGTGTGGTGGATTATTTCGGTGGGAAAATTGGCCTCGTTGGTCGGGAATCACGCTGGCCGCCGCCGGCCGGCTTTGGCAGGCCTTTGATCTCAACGATCGCCACCGCACGCGACTTTTCACGCCTCCTTTCCGCAGACAAATTGCATCTTCAACAAAAAAATGATACTTTATATAAAAGTTTGTCTGGCCGGAATGGACATTGTTATTTTTAATGATGGTTAAAAAGCAAGGACAACTTTGATGTTTCTAAATTTTCTTTCTATTTCTGTTATTCTTTTACTTCAGTGATTATCATTTTATTTGCCTAAATTAAAACATTTTAAAGAGTTCATCTTTTAAATTTTTGTGCAATAAGAAGTTGTTCCACGTCATTCAATTACTTTGATTTACAAATGGAACATATTACTATAAGGAAACAAAAATATTAATTTTACGAAATAAAGTATCAATATATAATGAAATTTGTTTAAAAAAAATAAATATCTATGCATAAATGAATAAACATAATTTATATTCCCTTTTTGTCTGCCTCTGCATATATTTTCATTTTATTTATTAAACCATCAGTAAAATATTGCAAAATTCAAATTGTCACGAAAATAATTCAACCTCAATTTACTAGGAATATTTGTAATTTTCCTTTATTATTCACATAGCATCTAACTTTTGCAATAAAATATAAAGTGAAATAGGATCTTAGCCTATTTCTATATTCTATTTATTTGACATTACGTGTCATCACGTGCTTCCAAAACCCATTCGGGTAATTGTGTGAGCGGCGTGGAGGAAGACATTAGATTCGTCGTCTGCCTTGTTTTCTGAGGGGATCGATGGACTTTCTCTCTTTCTTTATTCTTCCTTCTCTATTACGCGCTCGGGGAAATCGTCGCGTGACGACACCGATCGAGTCCGTCCCAGCACTGACTAATCGACGGTCGCCGCAGATTCAGTTTCGTTCGTGTAATAATGCACCTGCCCGACTCTCATCTCTCTTATTTCACATTTATTTATTTATTATTTGTTTTGTTTGCGAAGGACAAAGAAAAGGTTAATTTGAGCGGCGCGCAAGATTTAATGCAATTAGCCTCTGCTTAATTATACAGATTTAATCTGGCGAGCTGCGCGAATAATTCATGCGGCGAACGCGCGACACATACACATACAGCCCCCGCTCGGCTTGTTTGGCCAGCCGCTAATTAAACCCTTTATGTGCGCGCAATTCCGACAGGACAAACCAACCGAGCGAGCGAGCGAGAGAGTGAGCGGGTTTGATGCAAGAGAGACCCTCGCACCCCTGCTTGCCACCGCAGTTTCGACACTTGCTCAAGTTTCCGAGAGGGTGCCACCTTGTTGTGAACTTTTGCTTGCGAATATTTGAGAAATTCCTAGATCTATTTTTTCTTTCCAATCAAAAAGAACTCATAAAAGGAATAGAAAAATCTCTAATACATAAAAATATCATTTAGAGATTTCAGATATATATTAAAAATCAATTAAAAACATGATTAATTCTATTTCATTATTCAGTTGACCTTTTTCTGCTCAAATAGTTATTAGAGGATAAAAAAAATATGATTATTTCAAGAGGAAAAAATGATCCTCCAATTTTTCTGGCAACGACTTTTTAATTCCTCAAAAATGTCCAATTATTTTAATAGAATAACAATATACTATTACTTGCATATTTCACTTGCCTGAATTTTTATGAGAAAACTTTAAATTTTTATTGACTTTATTCTCTTTGTATAAGAATTACCGGCAAACAAATTGCTGTTTAAATATATTTCATAAAACAAATGAAATTTTATATCAGAGGAGCACTTTTCTTGTGGAAACAAAGCTGTCCTTTCGCATGTACGTAATCGAATTACACGCGGCACATTTGACGCAGAAGCTGCAGTCGAGAGAGAGAGAAGTTTGCTTGCAGTGATTTTTCAGTCGATTTGCGTGTATAATCCGGCCGCCGTCTCGAGTGCTCGCAGCAAACAAATAATATATATACGTGGTACGTGCTGCGGTGTGGGGAGCTGATTGAGTGAAAGGGCGAGCGGCAGCAGCAGATGCTCTCGCGATTTGATTTTCCGGCTGGCCAAGTGCTCAAAAACTCACTTCCGCCGCCGATGCTAATCGACGCACACCGGACGGGCAGTGAAAAACTATTCACAAACTTATTTATTATAAAACATTTTAATATTCAGCATAAATTTAAAATATACTTATAAAATTACAGTTATTATTGATCATTTTTACTTTAATTTATAACAAATATTTATTATTATATATTTGATATTTTGACATATTTAAAGTTTTATAATGTCTTTAAAATTATTTAAATATTTGATAATATTATGTGTATAAGATAACTTAATAATGTTGTATGATTGCTGACAATATCACAGAATGATTATTGTAATGTAAATTTTCCGGTCTGCTATAGATGAAAAGTAAATACGATAATTTAACATTTATATAATTTTCTAATAAATGCAAGGATTGGTTTAAAATTGAGCATTTTGATTTCAAATTTGAAATTGGTCAAGAAGTTAAGTATTTAAAAACTGAATTAAATAAACTACTGTTAACACTCTTTTTAAATGTCATATAAAAAAATTAAATTTACTTAGACTTGATCTTTTGTAGAGTTTGGCAACTTTTTCATTTAGCACTGCCCTCGAGTTGATTGTGAGAAGTACCGACTAAACAAACGCGATCCCCTCCTCTCTCTCTCTCGTCTGCCGACATTATTTGTCAGAATATCATCGTCTGCCGGATTTATTTATTAATTGCCGTCGTAGTTTTTTTGCGAGCGTGGGGGTTGCATACATTGCGGCGGGTAACACGTGTTCGTGAGCGAAACCACTGCGCATCAATCAGAGATTCGCTTCCGCGCCATTTGATCCAGCAGCGTCTAATATCACATCATATTTTCCAAGCTAGAGAGTATTTTTGTTTGCGGTCTCGCAGATTTTCTCTGCGCCATCAACGGGATTTCACGCGTTTTCGAACTAAGAGAAAAAGCTCGCGTGCGTTGCAACTTGGCTATATAATAATAAAAAAGGATAAATCTTTTCCCGTTTAATTTACAAAAGCGGCGGAATCGATAAACACGGCGTTTACGATCAACCCCCCTTTCACGTGTGTGTATGTCTTTTGTGCGTCGATTTTGACGGCTCAATTTGGCCGCTTTTTATATGTTTTTGCGGAGGGGACGCGTCGAAATTAAACGCGGAAAAAAATAATGTTGCGCCTCCTCTTTTGTCATCGTCACCCCAAAAGTCAAATTAAAGGGGTTGAAAAATATGTGCCGCTCGCTGATGACAATAACAGAAAAATGCACAAAGCGCGCGGTGCGATCCCTTGAGGGAATTATTAAATTTATTAACAAAAAGTAGCGGATGAAATTTAAAAAATCGCAGCTGCGTCAAGTTTTGGGTCGTTTTCGGCTCGGTTGGGCGCGAAATTCGATCAAATGAAGCGGTGGGTGTTGTGAACGCGACACCTCTGTGTCAGTGGCGACAAAGGGAAGATTTGCTTCACACGCCGAGAGAGCTGAATGAATGAAAAAGATTCTTTGAGGCGCAAGTGTGTCCACAATGGGCGGCGGAGGTGTGAAAAATAAAGTGAATGCGGATGAATGTGTACCTGGATTTAGTGGAAAATCTCTCGAAATATGCAGGATTTGGTCGGATTTGGGGCTGTTAACCTTCATTTGTAAAGTTCAGAGAATACACCATTTTTTCGGTAAATTTCAATCCGAATTCTGTTGAAAAGAGCAGATGAAACGTTAAAATAAAACTGCAATCAATTTTAATCTTCAATTTTTTTTTCATTATCTAAATTTTTGTAATATTACAGGGGATAAAACCCACACGTTTTGGAAAATAAAATTTGCAATTCACATTATTATTATTATTTATTCTTCTCAGTTGATACAAAAATTTTAAATTGGGAAAAAAAGAGAAGAAAGGGTTTACAACTAGCAGATGTCTGCTAAAACGCCGGACATCATAATAGACACGGCAGCCGCGGTAAACCCACACTAAATTAATATATTAAAAAAACTATTCAAACCCAAAATGATCCATTCATTTGTTATTTCAACAAATTTAAAGTAGATTTTCTGGAGTAAAATTACACAAAATTATTTATTTTTATTTACAATAAACATATATTAATGTATCACTACATCATCGTTTAATTCAAAAACCTTAATTTTCTCCTATTTTTATGTGAATATTGATTTCAAAATTTCCCCCTTATCTAAAGCGACCGCGTATGAAAACGCAATTTCCCACCTCAAGCTGCACAATTTGACAATTTCTCATGATCTGTCAAGCCAGCAGCACTGCCCTTCTCTCATTCTCTCAAAAGTCAACCGTTTGGACCGAAAACGCGCATTCAATATCAAAGCAATCATCGTCGATCGTCCCTCTCTTCTCAATAAAAGATCAAGATCCCTCGAGTTGCTCCTCGGGGTTTGTATCTGTGCATTTTTTGTGCACGGCCCGCTGTTTACAAGCGATTGTCACGAAGGATGAAAGGAATCGGCGGCGTGAATAGGCCGGGTGATGAACCAACCTGCACGTCTTATTTTCACACCTCGCGTGACAAAATCCGCCGCTCGTTGGCTCGGTCGAGCGCCTCTGCTCAATGGGATGCGAGCAGATGCTCCCCCGGCCGCCGGCAATTCGATTCTCGTTTTATTTATTCGATCAATTGACAGCTCATCCCCGGCCGCGCACAAAAGTTGAGCTGATTGATTGACGCGCGCTGCACCTTTTTATAAACTCTTATATGCGCGAATTGTGCGTCATGAATATCTTCTTCTTTTTCTTCGGCGTCCCTTTTTACCCTCTGGGTAGATGTGGAATTTTTCGTTGGAATTCCATTTCTATTTGGAGCGGGATATTGGCAAATCAATACGTTTTATTTTCGGTTCCAAAAGGGATTATTATTTGTAAGATATTGGATTTTTTTTTAAACTTTCCAACGTATTTCTGCAAAGAATTAATGCGAGAAATTTAAATCCGTATCATGGTTCGAATAATCTATTGTTGGAAAATTCCTCAATTTCATAAAAAAGAAAATAATTTTTGAAATATTCATTTACTTAAAAAAAACATTCATTACTAAAAAAAGATCAAAAATTTTCGTCGAAATTTTAAAATTTACATATAACTAACTTTTTCATACCAAAATTTTACCAATTTTCATGAAATTTATTAGATACATTTGTTCTTTTTGCGAGGTGAAAAGATAAATAAAATGATTTTTATTATTTTCTCCTAAATTCAAAATTTAAGTTAAATCAAAAATATATTATATATTTTTTATAAATATCCCTTAATGTACTTTTTTTAAACCTGAATCGAAAAATCTGAATTTTGGTTGAAAATTTCATAATTTATTTGTTCTTGTTAATTATATTTTTTGCCTATTCATTCACTAAAATTCTCTATTTCACCTAGTTATAATGTTTTCCCAATCGTATTGCAAAATAAGTACATTGCAAAAAAATATTTTTAGCAAAGTCTATTTCTTGATAAAAAAAAACCCGTTCAAATTCTTTGGAAAGAAAGTTTTATAAAAAAAAATGATGATTTACTGTCAAGTTAATTATTATTAAAAAATATTGTGGCGCGTATCTTGAATTTGCAAAAAATTAGTAACTTTAAGCACGAGTAAATTTGAATGTGTCTTTGTCAATATAACTTCTAAGCCTCGGGAAAATTGCAGCGGTCGCCACCTGAGGGTGTTTTTCTAAACTAGAAATCAGCAGGTAAACGCGAGCAGCGCTGACAGGGGGCCGCACTTCGTCGATTTTCCAACGTTCCATAATTTGCCTCAATTGAACAAAACCAAATTAAGTTTTACTCGCTCTTTTTAATATATGAAATTGAAAGAAAAAAGCACCACGGAAAATTAAGTTGTGAAGTTTTCCATGAAATTAACTTTAATTTTTAGCTCTAACAAAAATCAAATCACCCCATACACGTGACAAGTGAATAACACCTCGATCAAATTTATGCATCGCCATTCATTCGCAAATCGAAAATCAACAATTTCAGTCACGTCTGCCGCGCGACCGCTGGCAAAAAGCTTCAATCAGTCCGTCAATCCGCTTCCATTGAATGGTCGAACAAAAGCGCGTTGGATATATTCAATTTGAAATGGAAAAAGCGTCCATTGAACGGAGGCGCTGGCGCATCGGATTCGCTGAAAAAGAGAATCCATCAGCGGCGCCGTGCCGCTCGGCTGCTCGCGCGGAACCGCTCCTCTTTTGCCAAACGGCGACGCGCATCCATCAAGTGACGAGAAATTTAATGCGCCGAAAGCACTCGTCGCCTAATTAGCAACTCTGATGGCTCGTGTCAACAGAAGTGAGGGAGATGATAAGTGAATTAATGCAGGGAAACAAAGAAGTCTGCAAGAAATAAAATTTAATATCACTTAATTAAAGGTGGAAAGGAAAAAACTAAATGAACAAGAATGTTGAATAAAAATTACAACATTAAATATCAATCGATCACCATTAAATAATTTAATATGATAGATAAAAGTAAAATTATTTTAAAAAGTAAAATAAAAATTAAAATGGAGAGAATCTTGTAACTAACGCATATAATTAATGTTCTATTATTACATAGGTTTATTTTACTTTTATTCTATTGAACAGTTTTTAATTGCCGTTTAAAAGATTTTGATTTAATTTTGGTATACGTTTCAATCGTATTATGTTTTACAAAAATTTAAATTTTTTTTCCCATTTCACAAGTTTTCCATTGCATTTTTAATGTCTTAGTTGTAAGATTTTTAATATCCATTCCTTTGGTGAATCTCAAGTTGCTCTCAGAATCTTTGTTTGTTCCTTTCCGCAGCTCCCGATCCTTTTGTGACGAAGCTCAGCCATAGCTTCCTGCGCTGCAGAAAACTTAGGCGCACGATCTTGAATGCGTAATTAATTAGTTAACTCGGCGCCAAGAGAATCCGCACGAGTGATGCGAAAAGGGAATCCCTCGAAGTCAAAGCTTTGGCCAAAGTTTGGGTCCAAAGGCGAAAGAAGGGGCGAGAAAAGTTTCACTTCAGTGTGCGCCACGTGCTTGTAAAAACGCGTCCGCCGCTTTTGATATACATACATTCACGCCGTGCCCCTCGTCGCGGGAATTTTTGATGCGAGCAGAGAGTGCGTTTTTGTGTTTTTCTCAAAGGGAATTTTCAGCCGAGTGTGATGAGATTTAATGTAGTGGAAAATAAAAGTTGGAATAAAATTAAACAATACACATTGTGAGTTAAATAGGAAATATTAAACTTACTTCACAATTTTGTCAAAACCATATTCTTCATTTTATTTTTAAATAAAGTAAACAGATTTTTTTTTAAATCCTGAATTAAAAATAATAATTTAATTTTTCACAATTTTTTATTTTAGGTTATGCAACTGGCTCTACATTGCCGTGCAACAAAAAGTCTACCTCTCTGATTGACCTCTCTGGATTTTCTGCTTTCAGGTTTTGGGCAAGCAAGGAGGCCGAACCCGCGCGTGCCTCGAGAGTCCGTCGGCACATTCCCACTGCGACACAGGTATGCAGCTTTACTTCACTGTTTCTAAAGCACCCGACGACGAAATCCATTTTTTCCGAGCCGCCTAATGGCCGGCGCGATTAGGCCACGCCGGTGACACGATAAAAAGCGAACGACCGCACTTTTGTTTGCGCGAGAGCTGACATCAACTCTTTGGTCACACGTGCGATACACATATATTTTCGACCGAGCGCGGACGACGGATAAACATGGATGAATTAATGGGTCGACTGACGCTCAGGGGCAGATCTAGGAAATAAAATCGTATTAAACAGAAATTCAATAAATTTTAAAATGGGAATACATAAAACTTGTATGTTTTAATAAATTAAAGCTTAATAGTTTAATATTAACAAAATTAAATAAATCATATTTAAAGTTTTCAAATTTCACTGTGGTGTTTAAATTTATTAGATTTCTTATTATATTTATAATTTGTATTATAAAAATATGCCTTTATTTATGATAAATTTCCAGAACATCATAATGTACGATGGTTTGAATTTTAATATAGCTGTTAATAAGAAATTAAATTTATATTTAATCCTCAACAGATTCTTCGTGCTATATAATTGGTCGTATTTCATACGTCTTATGTCATTTGTTCATGGTTAAGTGCATTTTGGGGATTTTTGATTTAATGAAATAATAAAATTGTAAGAGAAGACAAATTATATAAAATAATTAAATGTTAAAAATAAAAATTAAAAGTTTCCAAGTAATATATAAATAATTTAATTCTGCAAGTACTTATTTTAAATTTTAGATTTTCTTTTTAATTTTTGACATTTCTAGTTTTGCCCCTCAATATTTATCCAAGCAACAAAAGTGCTGAGCGTAATCAGGCTTAATGCATCTTCAATTGTGTGGCGCACTTTGTAAAAAGCGCAACGAGACAAAAGCTTTTTGCTCAACCTCATGCCGCTTGTTATGTATTTTAATTAACAAATTTGCATCAAATTTGAATATCACCAAGCATATTTCAAATGAAAGCCAAATATCCGGTCTAAAAAAGTTGAGCTGGGGGATGAATTTTATTTATCCGTTATGAGATAATATCGCGGGCCGATGTTTACTCGTCGCGGGTGGACACGCGCTCGCGACACAAAGCAAATAAAAAATGACCGTGTCTCTTCAATAATGCACGCAGCAGCCATTAGAGTGGCCCAGACTGAATAACTTTTCTATCGATTCGGAAGCTTTAAAATTTAAATCAAAATTTAAATTTTATAAAATGAAAGAACGGTTGGAAATTAAAAAAAAAATGAAAACGTCTGAGGGGGTGAAGCTCACAGAAGCAAATTAAGGGCAGGTGCTGTTTCTCCAGAGAGCCACCTGCCTATCCGGAGCGGTTGATTTTTGACCCCTCTTGCGCGACCTGTGGCCGTGATTATCGCGACTCTCTCTCCTGATTGCGTGAGATTGACCCTTCCGCCAGCTGCGTCCGTCCCCGCGGCACAATACTTGACTTCCGCCAAGTAATTTTACGACGCGAATTTTAAAAGAATGGTTCGTAATTTCTTTCTCAGCCGAGATTCCTTCCTTGAAAAATCCGGAGGGGAGTTGAATTTATATAAAAACGTTTGAGATAATTGCAGGGATAAATAAGAAGCGTGGCGGCTCTTAATTAAACTCATTAGTCGCGTGAGGGAGAGAAAAAGAAACAATGGCAGAGAGGCGTGCACTTGATAACAGGCACGACGCTCATTTATTTTTATTGCCGAGCAGAGATGGCTCGTGCCAAGAAAATTCAATTAATTTCCTACGCTTTTGAGCACAAATCTGGGAACAAATTAAAATTTGCTGAATTTATTTCTTGGAATAAAATAATAATTTCAAACTATTATTCAATTTATTTAAAATTAGTCTGTCTGTAACATTTAAAACCATTTTTCATTAAAAAGAAAAGCAATTACTTGAACAATTATCACAAATTTTTAACGTATGTCTGCTCCAACTCGTTTGCTAAACAATATTTTTAAATTCTGGACAAAACAATGCTCTAATTGGCCAACTTAGACCCTGGAAAAGAGTACCACAGCCTTGTGTTTGTCAATAAGTTGCAAATTTTTTTTGCATTTCTGATTTTTTGTAATAAGGAAAAAATATTTACAAGAGACACTTTTGACGCATTATTTTGGCTGAATAAAGGATATCGTTTTTATATTATGTATTTATTTTGAATATGATTTAATTTAATATAAATGTGAAATAACAATTTCGTTAACTCTGGTAAAACCATCCAGGTGAGCACTTGTGATGAGTTTAATTGAAAATAGGGTAGGTACAAAAGTGATAAAGGTGCACTTTGATAGCGTGGGAGCGATTTGTTTTCCCTCTCGACACTTATCAAAACAATTACCTTTCGAAATCATAGAGTGCATAAACAAATCGGGGTGATTTGACTGTATAGAGTGGAGGGATGGAAGTGCGGCAGGTGATGAGTCAGGAAGTGAACAGCAAATAAATTCAAAACTTTGCTTTTTAACTTCATAATTTTTTTAGAAAATTGTATTAAAAATAATATAATCGCTGAGTAACGAAAGAATTTGCAATATAAATTAAATTTGCTATGGTCAGAACTACTAGCATATTTTAATTTTAGCGACTCTTTTTCAATCCCTAATAAATTTGAATTACTTTCCTTTTTTTTTTAAATTATCAAATGCATTTATTATAAACAAACTATAGCAGTTTGTTATTTCATTTAATATTTTTTTTTCAAATTATTTTTTTTTTTCAAAAGGTTTTTTCCTCCTTTCAAATAAAAAGATTTTAAACTGTTACGCTGTGAACCGCAACACATTTCAAACAATAAAACAAATTCGAAACATGTCAGTTGCATTTGAAAAATTTCCATTTGACGTGTGCCCTGTTCTTTTGTCCGTCGCGCAGGGCGTGACAGGCTCGAATGAAGACGTCACCCCAGTCACAAACAACAAAGCAAATGAACCCTTTTTCTGGGGGTCGATTTGCAACTGCTTTAATGAGCGTTTGATGGAAATTATTTGATTCGATTATTAGCATGATAAAAAGTGGAGCGAGAAAAAAATAGCAGCAGCGTCGTGTGTGACTTTTCGGGTCGGTCGGGGGTGCGAGACGGGGGAGGTTTGTCGCAGCGAGGGCAGTCAGTTGTCACCGACACCTTCCTCGCTTCCCACAAACACACACGCGGTCACTTTTCTTTCTTTTATTCTATTGTGACTTTCCACCCCTGTCCCGCGGCCGGGGGCGAAACGCGAAACTACCCCCGCTCGCATTTCATCCCTCTTTAGCGCAATCATTAAGCCCCGAAATCGATTATTAACCCTTTCGCTTTAGCTTACTAGTGTGCGTTTTTCTTCCGGAGCGTTCAATTTGTTTTGGAAATTTGATGCGGTTTTGATTTTTAAATTTTTTGCAGCCACAACATTTGACAACACGCTTGTATTTGAAAGACAAAGCGTTTGAAATATTTAAATTACAGACAAAAACACTGGAGAAAAATGATCATTTAATTCACATATCATTCTCCAAATATTTATTGGAAGATTTAGTTTATTGATGTACCACAAAGGAATCTCTGCTTATATCGAGATACATTGTAGATATATTCAAGAAAGAATTATAAACGGAAAGAAAAAATTAAATAGCAGCAGAGAGAAAAACATAATTATAGATTGAAAAAGGTTTTGGAAAATAATTAAGATAATTTTACACAATTCTTTGTAGAATTATAAATGTGGAAATCAGAATTTAATTTACGTTGTATTCAATTTCCAGTGCCCTTGTAAGGTGAGAGAATCTTCTAAAGCTTAACTTTATTTTTATATAAACATTAATTTAAAAAAATACTGTTGTTTCTAATTCTTACATATTTTTTTCTTTTAACTTAATTTTATTTGTGTTTAATGTTAACTTGATTTACTTTTAATAAACGAAATAAAATTTTTCATTTAAATCTATCGGTTTTGTATTGAGAAGCGTTGAAAAAATAATTAGTCATATTCACACAAACAATAAAAGTATTGTAACAATGTGGACAAATAAACAGCAATAATAATAATTTCAATACAGCTCTTCACTCAAGTGAGATGGTAGAAAATAATTTTTCTGAATTGCGGGTACCCATACGCCTACTGTATAATGTTTGAATAAATCTTGAAAAGAAGTTACAAAATGTATTAAAAATCTCATTTGTAATAGTCAACAAAATCTTGTCGCTCCCAAGTAATAGTAAATTAAACTTGTACGCTCGAATTCTTCCGGAATCCATCTGCTTAAATTACCCTGGCCATAAATTTCGATTCGCGGCAAGCACTTGATTAAATCGTCTTTCTTTTCCACCCTCAAATTATTTTAATACGCACCCATATGGCTCTTGTTCGTTGCGGGTGTTCCGCTCTTTGACCTTTCGCGCTGTCTCGAATTCACCACTTGAAAAAGCAGGATCGCACCAGATGCTCGAGTAGAGAATCTGTGGTGGGTAATATGTCGCTCTAACAGGTGAGTTACGGTTTCTGGAGTGCGTGGGAATGGCGGTTAGGGAATCAACGAGCGATAATATGCATTATGAAATTTAATTATCACCTCCTGCAGACCGCACCGTATTGAAATTTTCAAGAGACAAGGAACTATACAATTAATGCAATAATTATTGTATCTGACAAAAATCTCCAAAATCCTAAAGAACTTGTTGTATTTTAATTTAATTTTGAAGGTACAAATTGAAAAGCTTGTAAAAAAAATTTAAAATAATTACGAATGAAAGAATTTTAGTTTATTATTCATCACTTTTTGAAAATTTATAAATTTAGTAAAAATCAAAGAAAATTAATATAAATATTGAAGTGTAACCTTTTTCTATTGGTTTTAATATTATATTTCGTCATTGAGCTGATGCAGAATTATATTTTGACATTGAGCTGACGTAGATATTTTTTATATTAAATTGATATCAAAGGCTATATTCAGATTCAATTTGCAATAATTTCCTCCACTTATCCATTTTCTAATCGCTTGAATTATTCTGTTAAAATTTATGACCTTAAAGACTTCCTCGTTACACGAAGAAATTGAAATTTTTTATTTTTAGTATAAAACCAATAAATTTAGATTTTTTTGTTTCTTCTTAAACCACCATAGACGTACAACCACACAACCTGTTAAACAATTGTTATTGTATTGATTAAATATACATATATTTAAAATATAAATATTTAATTCATTTCTGCCTTGGATATTTTTCCCAATATGAATTGTAATTTTAAAACCCAGTTTAATTATAATTTTCTTTTAATTGAATAATTTGTTTGATTTATATTTATAAATCACTCAACGCTCGGCACCATTTCAACCCTTCACATTTTTTCTCGAGAATTGAAATTCCCACAAGAGCAGCTCGCGCGGCAAAAGTAAAGTGCATCTGTCGGCGCGTTCCTTCCTTCCACCCCGCGGCTCTCTTCATAGCGTTGTTCAGTGATTGTGCTCCTCCGCTCGGTGGTCACGCTTGACCCGTCGCAGGGCGGCAGGTGCACCCCCGCGACGACTTTTCGCGCTCTCCTTTGGCTAATTTAATATTTATGCGCTGGCGTGCTCACTCTCCTCGTCAATTATTCAAACGCACACTGATCGAAAGGGCAAACCCACAACAATGACTTTATTCACTTTTTTTTCATTCCATACAATACATCGACTATAATGTTCGAAAAGCAGAATTAGAGACCCTTGACTCTCCCATTGTTTCGGAGGAAGGAGCGCACAGGAACTATGCAAATAATAACGCACCCCCGGTTTACGTATTGTCAGTGATTTGCCGGCGAGGATCGCGCATTGTTGTCTCAAACTCAATTATTCCGCTTGTTGATGGCGATAATTTCGAAATTAGACACTGCGGCTCTGAACTGTGAACAAGTTTTAACGAAATATTTAGTTAAGAAGAAAACAATAAAGTGCACTAAAATCATCTCATACCAATAATAAATTTTTTTTCAAACTATTTTATAAATGATTGGTAACTTTTAAGTTCTTGATTTATTTCATTATACTATAAAAATTTAGTTCTCTTATTTATTAGGCCAGAACAGGTTTAATGAAAGTTCTGTTTCAATTTGAACCAAAAATTAAATGATAATTAAATCTTGTTGATATATTTTTCTATTTTTCTTTACTTATTGTTCGTTTAATATTTTTTCATATTATAATTAATTTATTTTAAAACATTGTTTACATAAAAATTTTTTAAATTTAATTATTTTTATCACTAAAAGCAAAACTTTATTTTATATCCACGTTTATTGAACTTATTGAAGAACAAAATTTATTTGAATAATATACAAAAAATTTCAAGGCATCTTAAAATTATAACAGTACACAATAAATAAAGCTTAAACTTCATCGCTCATGAGTTTTTTAGTTTGTATGCTAATTTTTCAATTCCATCTGTCTTCAAATGCAATCTGTCACAACTATCCATCCTCGCATATCTTTAAACTGTGAGAAAACTTTCGACAAACGAGAAGCCGTGAGTCGGTTGGCCAAAGGTCACGCGCGATGCCTCTGCTCTCGTCATCAGGTGGCTTATGCGTGGGCAGGTGGAGGCTCGGGGGTGGGAGGGGACATCCCCCGGCCGTCCGTCCGGCCGGCCGCCGAGGGCGCGTTATTCGGTTGTCTGCTGCGGCGCTGCGAGAGTCTCTTGTTTGACAGACCCTTGGTGTTTCAGCCACTGAGTCCGAGACAGGCGACGACGAGACCGGCGACGAGGGTGACGACGACACCATCCGCTGCCCTGACTGCGACAAACCCTTCGCCGACTTAGAATCGTAAGTACCTAAATATTTCAATTCTTCAATAATTCCTTGAAGTTGGCCAGCAAATTTGTAAAAAGAATCTAGTTTTATATTTATAAGGTAAAATATTCAAGAGCTTATGAATTTTTATTCTGCAATTTGTTACAAAACCTTTTTCTTATTTTTAAGTTTTTTTTTTCAAAATAGCATCGCTTTATAAATTTCACGGTTGGATCCTTCTATTATAAATGGGAAAAAAAGTATAAAAAAAAAATTGGTGAAGGTAGAGTGGGTTTAAAGATTAGTTAAAAGTTTGCAATTCAATTGTGTAAACTTGTATTTTCTTTGTAAACGCACAATTTTAAAAACTGACAATTTGTTTTAACATTCCCTAAAAATGAATCTTTAACTTAACTTTAGCTATAAATGTCGACGTTTAATAAAGGTTTTAAATTGTAAAATGATGGGTTTTTTATGTAAATATTAGAGCTGTTTAGTTTTTAATTTTCTATTGTGAGATTAACAGTATTTTCTCCAATCAAACTGTTTCAATTTTCAAATTTTTTTATTTTTTGCTTTTCAATTTTTCGAGTAAAAAAGCGTCACTGGTTAAAATCAGGCGGTGAATCACCCCCGAGGGCGATTTTCACCGCGACTTTTCCGAAGCCATCAGCAATTTGCGGGCCCATTATTATCGTACACGGACGGGCTTCCACACCATATAATGCACACCGCTCTTTCTCACATGAAATCCGCCGTGCATAGAGGGTTGTATAAAATGCTCTCTCACGCCACGCAGCATCGAAAAGCGCTTTTGTTTTAATGGTTATCCTCGGGTGGATCGCTCGCTAACTCACTCGGTTCGATCAAATGTAAAATTGTCGCCGCACAAGTCACGACACGCGCGCACGTAATTGGCGCCGCCGCCGCCGAGATTCACGCGCTGATACCGAAGTGACCAGAAAAAAAGCCGCTCGCCCATTCGCGTGCCTGTCGGACGCAACAGTCCTCTTTCCGAGGGTGGAAAAAATGAGAGCGAGAAAAACGTCCGCCCCCTGAAACAGAATAGTCCATTGAATTTCAATCTTGATCCAACCGGCTGAAAAGTAGAAAATGAATCAACATTTGGAAATTGAAATTACATAATTCCCTCTCATTTCCTGTTAGATTAAAATAATAGATGAAATATTTGATATTCGCAAGAAAAGAAAAATTATAGGAAAGGCTAATATATTTGATATATTTATTAAAAATCATTGAATTAATTGGAAATAAATAATAATTAATATTCAAGGCATCATGAGTCTACCCTCTGAAATAAAATCTCAAATTCTTTCCTTCAATTCCTTCAATCTTTAAAAGTGAAAAAAGTTCAAAAAGATAAATGATTTGTTTTGTAACGTACCACTAAATTCCAATTATAGTGTAGTTCCTAAATTTAAACTTTTTTCTGCATTTTCTTGAAACTAAAAATTGTGGGAGATTTGTGACTGTGTAAAAGTACGAAAGTTACAAATTTATTAAACTAAACAAAAATTCAAAATTAATACTCTAGTTTAATTTAGAGCACAATAAACCTGAATTCAAATCCACTGACCAACACAATGAGACGCACGCTTTTAACCTTTTTTAAATAATAGATACTTTCAGATTATACAATAATCAATAATAATACTTTCAAATTTTGTGCAATATGATATTTTTCGGATTATTAAAAAACTTAAAATATTATAGATTTTCTATTTTATTGTATAGTTTGTCTCATTTATTATTCTTCTAATTACAAAATATAAGCCGTTTGAAAAAATTATAAAACTATCAATTAATAATAATTGCACCCGGATAAGAAAATATTATATTATTTTGAATAACTTGCTTTAAGTCAACCTCTGTATAATTTGCATTAACTAGAAAAATATATTCGCTTAAAGATATTATCGTGCAAATTAATGAAAACAATAATTATAATGATTATATATTCGTTTGAAAATAAAATATTTGGGCTTATTAAATAATTTCCAACTTCAAAAATGAAGGGGGGGGGGGGAAATCTATGAAATGAATATGTGCATGTTTACAGCTTTAAACTTATGTGATTTTTTTTTTTAGCAATATCCAATATTTTAACCGATGCATTTTTATGATTGCATTGCAGTTTGGACGAGCATTTAGTTGCCGCGCACCGGTACCAGGCGGGTCAGCACAAGTGCGACCACTGCTCTGCGTCCTTCTGCTGGCGTCCGTGTCTTCTGCGTCACAAACACACGCACGGCGAGCAACGCAAGTACCCGTGCGAGAACTGCCCAAAGGTCTTCAGCGACCCGAGCAACCTCCAGCGGCACATCCGCGCGCACCACGTGGGCGCCCGTTCGCACGCGTGCCACGAGTGCGGCAAGACGTTCGCCACCTCGAGCGGACTCAAGCAACACACGCACATCCACTCGAGCGTCAAGCCGTTCCAGTGCGAGGTCTGCCTCAAGGCGTACACCCAGTTCTCCAACCTGTGCAGACACAAGAGAATGCACGCCGACTGCAGGTCGGGACCAATCACTCAACCTCAATTCTTCTCGTAATTCAAAATAAATTTTTTGATGATTATTATTAGCTACCCAATTATTTTGACAACAGCAAACAACATCCAAATTCCAATCCCTACTAAATTTTATTATTATTTCAAAAGCATTTTCCCGTTAGAAATTTTTAATCTGGAATACTCATTAGCAAGCGCAAATATTTTTTTACAGAAATTCAGGGGTCAAATTAATATTTTTAGACCATTTCATTTTGAATTCGGAAAAAAGTATGATCTTTTTTTATCTATTGTTATTTATTTGAATTTAATAGGAATAATTATCTGCCATAAAAGTACTTTGGATCAAGACAATTAAAAAAATACGGATGTAAACAGTATCCGAATTTAATTTAAAAGGCAATTATTTATTCTTTTTTCTATTAACATATTAGTACGGATAAAATATTTTGTGAAATTATAAACGATTTTAAACATAATATCCGATCATTTAAAATTTGAAGCCAATCTAGTTCTAATTTTTTTAGTTCTCCTTTGTGATTAATTCTATGAAATACACTTTTAAATTTTAGTATTCTATGGTATTCTAATAGAAAATTACCAAAATAGCCTTTCATAAAAAATTTTAATTTAAATTAAAAAAAAAACCAGCTGAGTTTTCTTTTCCCAATGTACAAAAATTAATCCGTATCCCACATGTTACCTCAGTAAATTTACATTTTTTAGTTAATTTTTTGCTAGAATTATTAATTTTATTTTAATATTTAATACTAATTGTTACTTGAATACTGTGATTGCAGGTCTCAGATAAAGTGCCACCGGTGTGGACAGGCATTCAGCACAGTCACTTCGCTGTCCAAGCACAAGCGTTTCTGTGATTCGAGTCCTCCGAGTTCAGCGTCGAGCGGCTCGAGCTGCTCAAACGGGTCTTTGGCGCCGCCGCCGGCGCCGCCTCCACTCAACACCAACCCCCTGCTGCAAATGTACCCGCGGCCGTTTTATCAGCCCTTCCCGGCGCTCTTCGCGCCCTCGGCCCAACCCTTCCTCGGCCTCCTCACGCACAAAATGATGCAGCAGCATGAGGCGGCCAAGGAGGAGGCGGCCAAACAGGCGGCCGCCGCCCCGGCCGCCGCCGAGGCGGGACAGCAACGGCCCTCGCCGCGTCCGGCCACCACCTACCCGAATCCTCGGGAGGCGCTGCCGTCGCCGACCAATCGGCGCCGCGCCCCACCCTCGCCGGTGGCGCTGACGGCGCGTGGCGATGCCGCGTCGCCGCCGCAGCCCCAACCCTTGGATCTGCGTGTCGGCGCCAAAAGGGACTCTGAAGACGAGCCTGATAGTCCGCCGCCCGCCAAACGCACCTCCAGTCCTTCACAGGTGCGGCCACAGGCGCCACCGGCGCCTGAGGAGGACGACGAAGAACTCGAAGTTGATGACAAAGTGAGTCGTTTTTTGGTAAATACAAAACAATTTAATACAAATTTGATTCTACATTTTCACCTTTTTTAATTTTTACAATTATTACAAGAAAAATATTTAAAATTTACTTTAAATCACAATTTTTAAACAGAAATCAAACAGAATTTTTTCAAATACAACCGAAAAAACTATAGATTGAAACCAAATTGAAATTTAAAAGATTTGTGATGGAGAGATTTTTATTTGCCTATTATTTTTTGAATAAAATAGCCCTTTCCACACCATATAAAAGCAAATCAATTAACTAATTGTAAGTATGGCCGCAGACTGCAAATTTGAAAAAAAAGAAGATACATTATTGAACTCGATTAGTTTTCAATGCAAAATTATTTAATTAAGAAATTCATTTCGACTTTTTTGTTCCATTGAAATTTTTGGACAAGATACTGACTGATGAATAGATTAAACAAGCACTTTTTTATGTGAAAAAAAAAACAATAATTATTATTTGTAACTTCCGATTCTCTTTTTTCTCTGTCCTTTTCATTATTCAATTTTTAACACAATTTCTGACCCGTTTTTCCTTCTTTGTGTTTCTCAGGAGAGGGATTTGAGGCCTGCAGTGGCGTGTCCCCTGCCTCTGCACCCGTTCGACGCGTTCATGTACCGACCTGCGTCGTTCCCACCCTCGTTCCACCCACCCCTGCACCTGCTGCCGACGCCGCGAGCCTTCGGGCTTGCACCGTCGCCACTCAGCCCCAGGCTTGGGTTTGCGCAACCACCCTTCAAACCCATGCACGAGGTCGGAGGCGGCACCGCCCCTGCCCCAAACAAGCAAAAGGACCGATACACGTGCTCCTTCTGTGGAAAGGTGTGTAATTTTTCTTAATAATTATCTCAATATTATGCTGTTTTGCATTATTTTTATTTCATTTAGCTACAAGGTCAAAGTATAAATATAAAATAAGCTTATTGTTAGTTTAAAAAAACGCAAATTTTTTCCCATAATAAAAAAATTAATTTTTGATGTTTTCTAATAAAAAGTAATATACGAATATATTTATCACTATTTCTTTACTTTAAAGGTTTAATTAAATTTTTTAATTGAAGTTTATATTTCATTATAGAATTGTTATGATTATTATTATTTTTTTATGTTTCGACTTTTACTTTTTTATTTGAATTCTTTGGCAAATAAACATATTGATAGAAATGAAGATTCATAAATTATTTAAAATTCAAAAGATGTTAGACTCTCAACAGATTTCTGGACTTCAAATTATGCTGATCATAATAATATTAGAAACATTTATATTTTTAAATAATCCAAAACATCCATCATGAATCAAGAAAATTTTTGGTTTTCTAGAATTTTTCAGGAATTAAATAATTGTATTATAATAAAAATTAAATTGAACCTTACAAAGGTCACAAATTTCTTCGCGTCTATAACTTCCTTTTAAGTTTTAATGGAAGAATATGAAGATTTTAAATTATGAAAAAAAATTAATTAAATTTTGCTTGATTCTCAGGTTTTCCCGCGTTCGGCGAATCTGACGCGTCACCTGCGGACGCACACCGGCGAGCAGCCGTACAAGTGCAAGTACTGCGAGCGTTCATTCAGCATCTCGTCAAATCTGCAGCGCCACGTGCGCAACATCCACAACAAGGAGAAGCCGTTCAAGTGTCCACTGTGCGAGCGCTGCTTTGGCCAGCAGACCAACCTGGACCGGCACCTGAAGAAGCACGAGGCCGAGGAGGCCGGCGGCGTCCTGCTCGACAGCCCCGCCTCCAGCAACGATGACCAGGCCTCCGTCTTCGACGAGATCCGCTCCTTCATGGGCAAGGTGGCGGGGTACGCCGCCTCCGGCGTCGGGGGCGGCCCCGGCGGCCCCCAGCCCCCGCTCTTTGACCTCTCCCGCACCCTGGTCAACAACAATAATAACTTGAAGCGGCCGCAGAATGACGACCCCATCGCCATCTCCAGCTAGAGTGACCTGTTCGACCTCTGTCCTCCCTCCCTCCCCCACCACCTCCTTGTAAAAAGGAGAAATAAAAGAAAGTGCATCGGACACTGTCCCTGTTGAGGTGTTGAATTAATTATTAATTAATTATATTGTCTTCTTAGTCATCTCGAGCCAAAGCTTTTCAGTCACACCGCCGTCGGCTAGTTTGGTAGGCACCCAAGTTGTTACAAAACAATTGTATTGTATAAAAAAAAAAAAATTACTTAAGAATCTCTCACATGTGTCTCTCATTATTGAAAATAATTATATTGTATCTCGTCTCCTCCTCTCTTAATATGCTTGTGCGCGAAAATTGATTATTGTAATGGAAAATAATCGTCTCCCTCACAATCTCTATCTCTCCACCATTCATGAAATGTGGTTGTTATAAATTATTGATATTAAGAGTTACGGAATCGCCTCCGATTGGCGCCACCATGAGAATCTCCCATTCTCACACTCTCTTTGTGCTTTGTATACTGTGTGTGTCGTTCCATGTTATCCATATGAGATGCAAGCAATTATATTGCGCCCTAAACTCTCTCACGTGCAAATAAATTTATTCCACGTCATCAAAAAAATAACTCTGGTAATTTTATTACAATTAAAATACACTACCTAAGAAACTTTATACAATAACTTTTTTTAAATTGAATTCCACTGATTTGAATAACTCTGAAACAAATAAATTATTATTTTTACTATCACATTTACTTTGATTGGAAATTTTAGTTTTTTTTTAAATTTATCACAAGTTTTGTGCTATTTATAATTTCAATTATTTCTTCTGCTCCCTAACGACGAGTTAAGGTAAACTAAAAAGTAATTTAATTTGAGATAAGCATAACATTTGCTCTCTGCTTCTGTGAGAGCCAAAGTAGCACTTACATGTTGTGCACAGGCGCCAACACTTTCATGCAATCTGGACCTCCTGAGGAAGCGTGTCAAGGAGCCCTGAGGGGTCCGCCGTCGTTTGTCGCATTCCGAACCTCTCGGCAGCTGTCGATTCAATAACCATCGAGTCGCTCAACAAGACGAAAACCAATCTGAAGGCTTTGACGGTTTGGCACTATTTTTTATGAAATTAATATTAGCATTGCCAAATATTACGTTGTTAACAATTACCCTCGCACAGTAGTGCCGGACTGGCTGTTTGGATGAGGGGTCCGAGATGCGAACAAAATCCTCCAGGGATAGATTTCCTGGATTTGGTAGGGGTCGAGACCTGCCACACGTCAGGCACACACCCAACCTTATCCGGAAGACGTCCCTCACCCAAACTTCTACGTTAGAGGTGCCGGTCTTGCGGCGCTTTTTCTCGACCTTTGGCTTGCTGTGTATACAAGAGTTCTTACAAATAATGTGAATTTGCGCTTTCAAAATTACTCACAGCCTCAACACCGCTCTCACCCAGGCCCTCTCCGACTGCAGGGAGATTTTGCCTCGGTTGCGTCTGAAATGGGCAAGCATTTCTTGTATATCTTTGTCTACTGCGTCTTTGAAGGGTGTTCTGAAACGAATTATACATGCGATAATCTATCTAGACGGTTCATAAAAAGCGAATCAACATATTTGAAAGCGTACAAGCGGTGCCAATACAAAGTTCACTGTGCTCATGGTCATAGCGCAGTTGTCTTTGGCACTTTTCGCGTGTTTGTCTTTCGCGAGGCGGGAGGCTCTTGAGGTTGATAGAATTGTCTTGGTTAACAAAACGGCGCCGTTTTCCGGATACATCGACGCGTGCCACCAAGTCTAGTGCAACCAAAATTTACTTAACTTTAAGGCAAAACACATTATTTAATTCGAGTAACCTCAACCTCACCCTTATACGCATGAAGGGCACATTCACTTTTTAGAAGCTATTTGTTTCTCGGCAAAATGAGGACTGAAAATAGTTTATGGAAATGAATAAAATTAAAATTAGGAGTCTCACTTGTCTCAGCCGTGGGGAAAATTGTAAATTCTCAGGGAGATATTTCGATTTCAGGAAGCCGTTGGCTACGCCAGCCGCCGAGTAAAATACAGCGGCTGAGATCTCCAGAAATACTCTTTACAAGTTTAAATTAAAAACCAAATCGTGTGTGAACAAAAAAAAACCGTTTTTGCCCTCTGCACAATAAAAGAATTTTACCTAATTATATTTACCTTCATTATTTCTCGTTTTGTATGAATACGCAGGCGGGACCGGGCCAGTGCCAAATGCATTTTCCGCAACCGATGCTGGCTTTACTGCTGCTTTTTCCACAAAGAAACGATCGAAATGTGTAAAGAACGACGTTGAACGTTTCATTTGAATCGATCGGGCAACAATCCGATTTAGGTAACATTGAAACCAGTTCGTCGCCATGCCAACAGACTCACTTTGTTTTGAGAAAAGTAACACAATGTGGATTTTGTTAGGAATACAACAATGAAAACATTTCTAATGATTTAATGATTGTTGAGTTTAAATTCCGCGGAATTCAAAACAAATTTATGAAGATATAATAAAATTTTAAATGCTCCATTTTTTTGGATTAATTAATAAACTCATTTAGATTATTATTTAAAAGTAATTTACACCATCATAATAATTTTTAGCGATTTTTAGCGTATTTCATAATTGCATTTGATACTAATCATGTGCACCCTGTAATATTGCAGAATCCTTTTTTTACTTCGAGTAGTTTAAGTCACTTCAATTCAAGTTTGATTAAAAGAAAAGTGCCATTAAAGATAAGTAAGTAGGTTCACTTAAATTTCCACTCAACAAAATTCCCCAGCAGTGCAAGCTACAGCTATTTTAAATCTTCTATCACGCTCCTTATCATTTAAACTCTTTTTGATAAGCAATTGTCGCTGAATAATAGGTGTGGTGTGCGTTCTCGTCATAAATTTCCGCAATCATACTTGAACTTCAGCAAAGCTACTTAATCGTGCAAATCTGGCAATTACCCTTTGGTGACCGTGATTTGTATATAAATTTAAAAGGGAAATTGATGGAAATAAAAATTTTGTGATTAAAGAAGCAATTTTTTTTTAATCCTGAATATCAACTACTAGAAAATAAGGATGCTTGATGAAATAAAAATTATCTATCCATCCTTTTCCATTGAATTGAAAATATATTTTTTATTAATTAACAACACAAAACAGTAAAATAATCTTGATGCAAAATTAATGTTTGACATTTTTCATCTATTTTGTTAATTCGGTTAATTCAATTGTTGACAAATTTCAGATTTGATTATCGATGGCGTAAGAAAATTATCTCCCTTGCTATAAATTTGATAGCGCATTTCCTGTTCTATTCCCATTTACATTAAATTAATAGGGCGCTCGCCATCCAGCTGCTGCCTTTTGGTCCCTAGCCTAACCGCAATTATGTGTCGCATTATTTCAAGTTCATCATATCATAAGTGCCCGAAATTACCGAAATTGCGAATTTGTGCAACATAAATTAGATTGAGGCAAAGAGGCGCAAGTCTGTTCTGCTTTTGAAGGTTGTGGTGCCACAACATGTTGCATTCGGCGAGATGCGCTCCGTCTATTAAAATCGCGGCGCTCTGCCGATAAGAAGCCCTTGAACGCGCTGGACAATGTGGAAATTATAATCGGCCATTACTTTCGTATCAATCACAAAAATTGAAGTCTCGAGGTTTGATAGGGAGAAACGCGGCGGAACTTTTTGATAGCAGTTTGGTGCCACCTGATATTACCAGATATCGGACCAGATTGGTTTGGACATCGCTGGAAGCAGCAACGCACGACACTGTGAGTTCAACATAAACAAAACCCAGACTTGAACAAATATTTTCACGGAAGATTAAATTCATGCAAATCCAATTTTTATTTTCAAATAGAATTTAATTAGAAATTTGTGGCGTTTAAATTTTTTGTTTTTAAATTACAAAGTTTTTCTCATTGAAATTATATGTATACATTTGCATTGCTAAGTTACATCAATTCTGAACTAAGTTTTTTGTAACCTCATTTTTACCTTGTGCAAGTTGAATCTATACATAAATTAAAGACTGGCGTGTTCTACTTTTTGTGTTTTACTAATAGTTGAATGCGAAAAGCTTTTAAATTATGAGATAAGCAAGGCTCAACTTTGCTTCTGCTAATATTAAAAAATATAGACTTTTAATCAATGACGTACATTCATTTGTCAAAGGCAAACTTAATTATCAATATTTCTTCTTATTTCAAGCGTCATTTAACCACTTTTGATAAAAATTGGCTAATTTAATTGTAAATATTTTAAGGAAGTGTGAAAATCTTCCAAAATAAAATATCTAAACTTGAAACACTTCCTTGCACTTGCTCAATACCTACCAATCACTAAAATAAGTCTATGAAACTTTTTTATTGTTCTTGCACTTTAAGAAAGTGCATAAACATTAATTATATTATTTGTTCAATTTTTTTATTGCTATATTAACATTGGTGCAAAAGGATTGCGGCAATGAGTGTCTCTGCGGTATTTGCGCTACTCGCGGCCTCCCTGGCAATTTTGGCCGGAGGAGCCAAGGCAGAGATGCAGGTCATCTTTGAACCAGCTCTAGTCAAACAGCTCAAGGACAATGGTACGAAAACAGTCACAGTCTGGGCCAACGAGTCCTTTTCCTTTGTCTCCGTGTTTGCCGCCTCGACCCATCCAGACGTGGCCGAAGTTTCTTTGGAGTAAGAAAATATAAGATTTAAAATAATTTTGTCAAATTAATTTTGTTTTAGGTCTCTCAATTTTGAACTTGTCAACGGAAACCACTCCAAGTACAAAGCCAATTTCACCGTGAGTGGAAAATTCGTTGGCTACACGGACGTGATCCTGAAAACCTTCAAAGAAGGAACAAACGTTTTGGTCGACGAAAGTCCGGCACTTTTCGTTTCAGTGATCCGCGCCAGCGACGGAAGTGATGCAGTTTTCATTGGCACCATTTCTGTCATGATGTTTTTCATGTACATTAACTTCGGATGTGCATTAAATATGCCGCTTGTCTTAAAAAATCTGAAAAAGCCCATTGGAATCACCATTGGACTTGTTTCCCAATTCGTTTTCATGCCAGTTGTAAGTAAATACAATTAATTAGCCTAAATTGTAAATTTTTAAGTTATATTTTAACCACAATATAAGACAACTTAAAATTTTTGCAATGAAAATCATTAAAATTTCAGATGAGCTTTTTCATCGCCAGATATGTGTTCTATGATAATCCAGCTCTGCAGCTTGGCCTATTTTTCATCGGCAGCTCTCCCGGTGGAGCGGCCAGTAATATGTGGACTTTAGTCCTTGGCGGGAATCTCGACCTTTCCGTGACAATGACCGCAGTTAGCACGTTCGCCAGCTTCTGTAAGAAAAATTTCCCTCTCAATCATTTTTATTAATTTTATTTCTAGTAACAATCCCCTTTTGGGTGTTCACATTGGGTCGCTTAATTTTTGAAAACGCAAATATCGCCGTGCCTTACAAAGAGATCGCATTCACTGCCCTGAGCTTATTTATTCCGCTGCTGATTGGCATCTTCATTCAGTACAAGCTGCCAAAGGTTACAACGTTTTTGAACAAAGTTCTAAAACCTTTTGCTGCAATTTGCTTGATATTCATCATTTTCGCGACTTGTTACAACGTTTTTCTGTTCAAATTCGTCACTTGGAAGGTGAGTGGCATTTCTCATAACTTCTTCATGAAAAATATCAACAATAATGTCCAAAAATTTAGCTTTTATTTGGCGCATCTTCCAATCCTATTTTGGGCTACATTTTTGGCGCTGGATTGGCAAGAATATTTCGGCAGAGTGGCCCAGACATTCTCGCTATCTCAATTGAGACGGGCATTCAAAACGGAGCAATTGCTATGATCTTACTGAAGGTTGCCCTGGAGCCTCCAGAGAGTGACATTTCAGCAGGTTTTCATCAATATCTTCATTTAAATAGAAATCCTTTTAATCTTTATTTTAATTTTCAGTCGTCATTGTGACGATATTTGTTGCGACACAACTCCCATTGGCCATATTGTTGGCATTCTTCAAGATTCGCGACTGTGTGCGGGCCAAGAAGAAGATTAATATCGACCTTAATGAGACGGAAATTCCATTGAAGCAACCAGTACCTGAATTTAAGCAATAAATTTTACAATGTAAATGTTCCAATTGGTCAAAATTATGATTATTTATTCTCTTTTATATTTCAAAGCTATAAAAAAAGTTTTTTTTAAATCCAATTTTTTTTTATGAAATGTGATTATCCATACACTTAAAAAATGCTGCAACTTTTAAAATAGTCCAAATTATTAGATATTGAATGCTAACAACGCCTGCAAAAGAGAACATATGCAACCCGCACACTTTAACGGAGAATTAAAAATCAATAATTATTCTCCTCTCTTCATTGACGTCAGTATTAATCATGTAAGACAGGATAATTTTTATTTTTCCCCCACATTAAATTAATTTATAATTTCAATCTCTTTACATCAAATTTTGTTTGTGTTTACTGAACACAAAGAATGTTTATTTAGATTTAACTAAAAGTTTATTATCCATCACAAATATTTTTGTAGCATTCGTCGAGAACTTCGCAAAACGCCCTGCTTTCAGTGTTGCAATCGACATCCTTCCAAACCATCTTTCCTTTATCTAGACTGGAATTATAATTTTTTTTTATAAATATTCCAATTTTCATATTAATAATTTAAGATATAATAAAAAAAGCACTTACGCCACCTGAATGCATTTTCCTGCCCCACTTGGTTTCCCACCGACCCAATTAGTAAACCCAATTTTGTCGCCCGTCTCCATCCAGGTCAGTTCATCTCCCAAACTGGAACCTGAAGTCCAAAAGTTGTCTTTGGCCATGGCAGCAGCGGCTAAAGAGTTCATTGAAAATTATTTAATTATATTAATAATTGGAAAGTTGGAAAAACCTTTATTCTCTGTCAAAAATTTTGCCAACGCATTATTTGTTTTTTCATCAACAATGCTCGCAAGCTGAAAACCAGTGATGCTCCGACAGGCTTTCATAGCCCCGTGCCAATTCAGCTTTTATTAAAAAAATGTATAATATATTTATAAATATTTAACTTTTTGCTGTAAAAATATTAAAAGTCTACTTTTGAAGTGGTCGTCATGTTTGGGAACAAATACATATCTCCTGACAGATACGTCAAATTTGTAGACATTGCGGCTGAAATATTAAAATTTATTTAATCGATTCCAAAAATTTAAATGACTTTTGTCTCATACCAGTCGATTTACACAAATTGGCATCTATTGGTCTATCATTCTTTTTTTATTAATTTATAAATATTTTATGGCGTTGCTTTAAATTTATTTATCAATACGTTTTTATCGCAGGCATAAGTTGGTCGTGGATCAGGTGCATAAAAGAGGTTTTCATCCACGAATCTCTTCCTGTCTTGCGGCACGCAAGATTTCATGCAGCTGAACTCGCCGCCCTTTGTTATCGACTCCAAATAAACTGCAGGTCTGCGCGTTACGCACCAAAATTTGTGACTTTAAATTATTCCACTTACCCTGCTTGGAGCTGTATATGTCCTGAGTGCGCCCTGTCGTTACCAGAGTCAAGAACTGCATGTGTTAAAAAATAAACCATGAAAATGCTTTAATAATAAATTTTTACGATTTTTACTTACAATTGTAAATAAATAAAAGAGTTGCATTATTGAAAGATGTTTTTGATCCTACATCAAATCGAACTGTTCGAGCTGCTCTGGAAACTGAACCGGATGGGTCCGTCGCAGCCAACGTTTTCATTTCCGTCGAGCGTCATCCGAATAATATGCGAACGCAAAAAATCAGTAAATTATTTTAATTTAGTATAACATGCGAATAAAAAAAATGATGCATTTTATGAATAAATTAACTTCAAGCCCAGCGGCTGAATCAGATTTTTCAACAATATAATAAAACACTGTCAAAGTAAAAAAACCAATGGAAATGAAAACCAATGCACATGCTGCTTTAGCGCCGAAACGCACGAAGGCCTCCCGATAAAAGTACTTTGAATTTGACCGCCAGAGGTCAGAGCAATGCAATGAATTGATAAAATTACCTTTGGTAACGCCCACTTCCTGGCTCCTGCACATTTTCGGCTTGTTGACTTTATTAAATATCCCGTGTTTCACAAATTTGTATAAATCATTTGTGCAGAAAATATCATTGATCAAATTGAAATAACTGAAAAACATTTTAAACTTCTTTTCGGCAAAAATTTATTTCGGAATTTAATTATTTTGGGACGATGAAATAATATTTTAAATGTCCGCTGTGGCAAAGGTCACTTTATTGGAGGGTTTCACCAAGATATTTCGGGAATTTCTTCAAGAGGTGAGCAGATAAGTTGATTGATAACAAAATTTCAAGCAAGCATTCATTTTTATGTTAATCGGGCTGAAATAATAAAGAAAAGATAGCAATTAAAAAATCAGAGCGCTGCTGTCGTCGGAGATCAAAGTGTGAATTTTAAATTGAACGTTGAACCAAGAAGATATATGATTTTTAAGGCTGCTGTGTTTGGATGTTTAGTGCAAACTGTTTTCGTATATTTTCAGTGATTGAATATTCACGATGCAGTGTGCGACGAGAAGAGTGATTTTTGCCAGGCCGACGGCCATCTGGACCAGGTTGGCCTCGATGGAGGTGGCCAAACCGAGGACGACGGAAACCGTTCTGGCAGAAAAGTACGCACAGAAGAAAAAGCAGGAAAAGCCATTCGCCAAGGAACTGTTCCTCGGCAGGGTGGACAACGACCTCTTCACCTTCCCCGAAGTCCTTGAACCCGAACGTCTGCAGACTTTGAACGAAATGCTTGTGCCGATCGAAAAGTTCTTCACCGAAAAACTCGACTCAAAATCCATCGACCAGAACGCCAAGATTCCTCCGGAGGTGCTCACCACCCTGAAGGACATGGGCCTCTTCGGCCAGCAGATTCCTGAGGAGTACGGCGGCCTTGGATTGAATGCTACCGAATTCGCACGAATTGCCGAGATCACTGCCCTGGATGGCGCAGTGGCCGTGACCCTGGCCGCCCACCAATCCATCGGCCTCAAAGGTCTGCTGATTTGCGGCACCGACGAGCAGAAGCAGAAGTACCTTCCTCGGCTGGCCACTGGAGAGTGGGTGGCCGCCTTCTGTCTGACAGAGCCCAGCAGTGGCTCGGACGCCGCCTCGATCCAAACCAGGGCCACCCTGGCTGAGGACGGCAAGACCTGGAAGTTGAACGGAGGAAAGATTTGGATCAGTAACGGTGGAATCGCTGACTTCTTTACTGTTTTCGCCAAGACTGAGGTGCACAATGAGATCGGAGAGAAAGAAGACAAAGTCACTGCTTTCATTGTTGAGAGAGGCTTCGGAGGCATCACATCTGGCAAACCTGAGGACAAACTGGGCATCCGAGGTTCAAACACTACCGAAGTGCACTTTGACAACACGCCAATACCTGCGGAGAATGTGCTGGGAGAAGTCGGGGGTGGTTTTAAGGTAATTAAAAATAAATTGAAATTAAATATTATGTTGTACATTAATGCATGAAGTTTTAAAGTTGCTATTTAACACCAAATCACTTCAAAATTATTAACATTAAATAAACTGTCAATAATTTTCTTTCTTCTGCTTATTCCATATTTTTTTGACCAATTGTTTCAATATAAAATATTTTCCAATTCGAAACTTTTTTAGGTGGCCATGAACATCTTGAACAGCGGCCGTTTCAGCATGGGCAGTTCGTCGGCTGGTGTTTTGAAAAAGCTCATCAAGTTGGTGTCCCAGCACGCCACCGAGCGCAAGCAGTTTGGCAAGCAGCTGAAGGAGTTTGGCCTCATCAAGGAAAAGGTGGCTAATCTAACCTTGGACGTTTACGCTATGGAGAGTATGGCTTACATGACGGCCGGCATGCTCGACATGTACGAAAATCCAGACTGCTCAATGGAGGCTGCCATGGTCAAGGTTTACAGTTCAGAAGCCGCTTGGTCAGGCGTTAGCGAATGCCTCCAAATTCTTGGTACGACAAAAAAAAATAGATTTAAAATTCAGAGCTCATTTTAAATTCTGGCAACATACAAATGATTTACCAATTTAATTATATATTTCTAATGCCAAAGTTAGGTAACTATAAAAAGTTGCCTCATTTTAAAAAGTACGTAATAATCTTACACAATGTTAATCCCCTTTAGATCAATTGATGTTAAAGATTCTTCTATTAAACTCTTATGTAACAAAACTTTTATCATCTGTTGTGCAGGTGGCCTTGGCTACATGAAAGATTACCCGTACGAACAGTACCTCAGAGACTCACGCATCATGATGATCTTCGAAGGCACCAATGAGATTCTCCGCCTCTTTATTTCTCTTCTCGGCTTTCAGTACGCTGGTGTTGAATTGAAAGAAACGGTTAGGAGAGTCAGAAACCCGCTTTTCAATCCACTGTTCATGCTCAAGTTCACTGGCAAAATGATCCGGCACCGAATGGACAATCCAAAACTGAAACTTCGCTTGAAAGACTTTGTTCACCCGTCCTTGGACATTGCAGCCAACCAACTTGAGTACTGCGTTTTGCGACTGCAGTACGCTGTGCAGGTTGTGTTGCAAACCCACGGCAAGGATGTTGTTGACGCCCAACTGGACCTCAAGAGAATTGCAGACATGTCCATCAATGTGTACGCCGCTTTTTCATCTTTGTCGAGAGCATCCAGGGCGTACTGCATTGGTCTGCACAACGCCGAGTACGAACTCACCTTGGCCAACACTATTGTCATGAGAACCCTCACCCTCGTCAAGAAAAATGTGAATGACTTGGAAAACGGCCCATTCGTCAACTTTGACCAGGCGCTTTTGGACATTGGCAGAAAAGTGTTTGAGAAGGGTGGTTACTATGCTGCACACCCTCTGACCAAGAATTTTGTATGAATTATTATTTCCTTGTTGGTTTGTAAGGCTGATTAATAAACTGTAATTTATTGGCATTGTTTAGCATTTTAGTTTTCATTGAAATGTCTGTATTCTGAACCTCTTACGGATAAATTATTTTACAAATTAGTTTAAAACAAATTATTATTAATATAAAATGATTTCAGCTTCATCAGTCAGATATCATATTAGACTACGCATTCAGCATTAAAACGGAGAGCATCAACAATTCTCAGGATTGCGTTTCAGTACTTGTAGCAGCTCTGCAGGAGCTCCAAAATGGAATAAATGTAATTATACCGTCATTATGATAGTGAAATGATTTGAATTTAAAAATTTTTTAGACCATAATATCTCATCATTCACAAAAGTCAGAGCAGGAGGACTGCTGGCCAAAAGATGTTATTTCGCCGCTCAACGAGGTGCCACCTGAGGTCCTCAATGACCCCTTCCAAGAAGTGAGTGACGCAACACCTTCCTTTGACAATTTTGTGAGTGAAGAAACTCAGCAGCAACTGGAATCGGGCCTCCTTGTTCGCTGGGATGACAAGCAAGTGTGTGAGGAGTCTGGAATCGTCATCAAAAGCTTGGAGGACAAAAACACTGTAACCCTTGAAGTTCTCAACTCGGTGTTTGAAAATGCCAGTGAGAAAAGCTGGAGCGGAAGTGAAAGCAACGCTGAGAAATTCAGTAATTTTTAATAAATGCTATTTATTTTTATTTATTCTTATTGAATATTCAAAGTTGTAGAAAATGAGGGTTCATATGAATGTCAAAACTGCAATGAGAGTTTTTCCAACTCTTCGAAACTTGAGTCGCACAGAGTTAAGCATCACGCTCTTCCATCATCTTGTGACTTGTGTGGAAAAGTATGTTTGTATTTTTGTACTCCGCCATTCGACGAAAAATTATTACAACAATTTTTAGTCCTTCTCCTCTGTTTCGGCGCTTCAAGTGCACTGCAAAAATGAACATGAAGGCGCCGGCTGTTTTGCATGCCCAACGTGCAAAAAGCGCTTCATGCTCCGGCTCAGCTACGAAAGGCACTTGAAATCCCACAATCCTTCGCTAACTGCAGTTTGTGAGGTAGATTAGTTTTATTTTTAAAAGTGAGGCGTTAATAGTATGTATTTAAAAAATACAGATATGTGGCAAAGCATTTAAGAGAGCCGATTACATGAAGCGCCACTACATGATGCACTCCAAAAAGAGGCCACACTCATGTGATGTGTGCGAAAAGACTTTCAGTAGTCCTTCTTCCCTTAAAATTCACAAGACGGTAACTGAAAATATCTATAAAAAAAAAATTTATTAGATATTATATTTAAATATTTTAAAATTTCAGCAAGTCCACGAGCAACTGAAAGATCATCCGTGCGATAAATGTGGAAAGAAGTTTGCCAGAATGGACAAATTGAAAGAGCACCTGAAACGACATGAAAACGTTCGGAAACACGAGTGCGAGTTTTGCCACAGAAAGTACGTCGAAAAAAGAGATTTGCGAATACACTTGCCAAAGTGCGGCCCTGGCGCCGAACCCTTCACTAAAAAGAGCAAGAAACCCTCAGTCCAGTGACAAAATTATCACTCTAAAAATAGAGAAAAGTGGATAATTTATTTTCCGAACATTAAATCAAGTTTACACGCATAATTAGTCTAATTAATTAATTCTCGCAAATAAAACTGAAGCGACTGATGCAGGGTTCAAAAGTGAAGCCGTGGTGGCCGTCGGAGCGGTTGTTGTAGATGGTGACGCAAATGCGGTCCTCTTTCTTTGGCACGGAGCAAGGAATTGGTTCAATTTGCAGCCACGGATGCACGTCAGGAGTGACCCATTTGATGATGCTGCTTTGTGCGTCGCAAGCGGCCGAGACCCAATACGGAGGCACCAGGTCATCTCGCATATCGGCTAGTTTTGTCTTAACTGCTCAAAAATTGAGTCAATTAAAAAAGTTACATTAATTCTTTAGCATGAAAATTACCATCTAAGTAATTAGTCAGCCACTTGTGATTGTTCTGGATGGTGTTTTCAAGGTTTAGCAAGTGCATCCCCTTTTCAGCGCAGTAAGTGAACGCTTTGTCCCATGACATCTGAGTAAATCATTTTTTATTATTTTATATCCAAAATATTTTTCATGATTAAAAGTTTCTCACCTTTTTGCTGCCAATGATGTAAGTTTTGTTCCTGAAAGAGAGCTGCCCGTCATCGACAAAGCCAAGGGCGATGTTGGTGAAGAAGCATGCAAGCAGCAGGTTCCGAAGCATTTTGAGTACTGATAAAAATCACGTAGTTGATCTGCTCTGTTGCATAACTAAGGGGCTAGGACTAAATTAACCATAATTGAGCATCACACAGCTCTTGACCTTTGTGGGAAGGGTCGGAGGGAGAAAGATGCGCACATATAAATGTGATTCTCAACGTTGAAAGAGGCGTTTATTACAATTGGATAATTACAAAAGGCGGGGAGACTAGCTGTGATCCTCATCGTCAATCTCGTCCAGATCGAGCTCATCCAAATCTTCGAAAAGCGTTTCGTCCACTTTGAAGTCGTCTCCTAAAATTAAAAACATTATTTTTTTACATAGTTTTTTTTAAATCACTTTAAGGATTTACCTTCTTCAAGGAATTTGAGGTCAGACTCATTAAGCGTCTTGTCCTGCAAGAACAATTCTCTGCCGGTCAGTTTTTTGCTATCTTTTTCCTTTTCCTTCTTTTTGAAAACAGACATCTCTTCATCGAAGGCCTTTTTCCACTTTAAGAAAGTCTCGACAGACACTCTGGTGCCCTCAAACCGTTTCTAAATTTAAAAATAAAGAGTTAATTTATTGGATTAAATTTCAGTGAGGAAGGTACCCTTTCAGCCTCTTCTTCAGCTTCAACCCTCTTTCGTTCCGCCTCTTCTTTGTGACTTTTTATTTTGTCGCTAAGTTGATTTAGCCACTCCAGAGCTGCCGAGACGAGCGTGAAAATCATCACCATGCCCACATTTTCTTGGGCCTGGAATGATTTAAAATTTTAAAGTGGTTTTAAAATTACCAAAGCAAACACATACAACTTCTTTCAGGTGTTCGACTAATCTTTTGGTCTCTTCAAAATTTTCTGCATCTAACACTTCAATTTCTGGAATTTCTTCAGGGTACTTTGGTGTGTACGTGAATTGTAGATTACAAGACAAACAGATGTCATTCTCGTCACTTTCGGCTCTCACTGGGATCATGAACTGATGAAACGGTAACTTGGAGAGAACTAAAAAAAAATTTGTTTTTAAATTTTCATCAATCTCATTCCAAAAATTTTCCTGACAAAATCTTACTTTCAAATTCGCCGCAGTAGATTGAGTCTAAGGCTTCTATTTCATTGACCTGTTCCTCGTGATGATCCATTTTTATTAAAGACTTTCAATCACAGTCTGAAAACAAAACAAATAATTTTTTTTTAAATTTGACGTCGTTTAATCATACATATTATTATTATTATTGACAAAATTTGGTTTCATTCAGTTTGACTGATTTCCTGACAAACCATTATCATCCTGTTTTCAATTTGAAGTTTGTAATAAACTAAAAAGCAAAAAAATTTATAATTTTAATAAAAAGAAGCGAAATCTACGGCATTTGAAATAATTTTGTTTGTCCTAAAAGTGGATATAGAAAGGGAGAAGGGAGCATCTGTCAGGTCTGCGGCCAGGTGCAAATGAGGAGGAAAGTGTCGCAATAGAAATTACCATAAATTCAGTGGCGATTTGTGCGCGATACCTGCTGCTTTCTATATTCTAAATATGGGCAAAATTTACGCGGAGTGCACGTAAACATGCGGCGACGATCTCGAGGTTCGAGGCCATGCCCACCACTCGACGCAGGTGGCAGCACTGTACGCGGGAGAGAGCAGGCGTGGCCACATGACTCACGGCCCCTGACGTCACGGCGGTTTCTGTCCACAACTGACACCACCCGCAGAACAATTCGCGATTTTTCACCCCGATAGTCACTCTTACGTCGTATAAAGGTGAGTTTCGGCTTCTTTAGCGGTGCCCTCGCCCTTTCGTTTAATTTTTCCAAACTTTTGCGGTCCGGGAAACCCTCAAAAGTGCTAAACAAACACAGATCAAATTTCAGTTCCTTGAACGCTGTTTGTGTGTGTGTGTCATTGTTTATATCAAGTAAGATAAAAATTCAACCTTATTAAGTACTTTTAAATTTCCTTGTCCTGTTATTTCTACAAAAACTTTTCAATTTGAACAACTAAAGGTCGCTTATGGTTTGAAAAATTTAATTCGAGCGACCTTGGAGAGGCATCTGCGCCGGCTGACTTGTCCCAGATAAAATTTCCTTATTTGGCAATGAATTTTCTCTGCTGTTGTTGCAGTGTTTTAATCCATTTCTCGTCTTTGCAGACTCACCATGTCGTCCCGAAAAGCTGCCGGTCGGCGAGTGGCCACCAAGAAGAGGGCCCAGCGGGCGACGTCCAATGTCTTTGCCATGTTTGACCAGGCCCAGATCCAGGAGTTCAAAGAAGCCTTCAACATGATCGATCAGAACAGGGACGGTTTCGTGGACAAGGAGGATCTGCATGATATGCTTGCATCTCTAGGTGCGCAATTTAACTTCAAAAACTGCCAATGTTAATCATAAATAGAATATTAATATTTCTTGAAATAAAAAAAGTCTGATTCCTTGAATAATTTATACTATTGGAAATTTATTAATTAATATTGATAAGCAATACATAATTAATTTATGCAAATGACAAACTGAATAAGTTAAATACAACTTTGAAATGTTTAAAATGTTTGAGTGAAAGTTGCATGTTGCTAAAATATTAAATTATTTTCAATTATTACTAGACTCCATCAAATGCTTGGATGTATTTTGTACTAAATATCAAAATATTGTTACAGGAAAGAACCCCACCTCGGAGTACCTGGACGGCATGATGAACGAAGCTCCCGGCCCCATCAACTTCACCATGTTCCTTACCCTGTTTGGTGAGAGGTTGCAGGGCACTGACCCTGAGGATGTGATCAAAAACGCATTTGGTTGCTTCGACGAAGAAAACAACGGCCACATCAACGAGGAAAGGCTGAGAGAATTGCTGACTTCCATGGGAGACCGATTCACCGACGATGAGGTAAAAAATTTCGTGACTCACAAATTAAAATTTGGTGCCAAGAGCAAAAAAAATTATTTATGGATCAAATTACAAGTCTATTAAAATTCAAGCTAAAGTCATCCAAAACAATTTTGATAATCGCAGCTCAAATTTCATCAAATAAGTCTTAAAAGTTTTGAAGAATCATGTTGATTTATTTAATTTTTTTTTCTTATTGTAAGATAAATAAAATTTTATCAATTTTGGAAGCTTTGAAAATTTAATTATATTAAACAAAAACAAAATTTGAAATAAAAAAATATTAATTACTTTATTTTAAACTATTGAATTTTTACTGTTGACAGGTTGACGAAATGTACAGAGAAGCACCAATCAAGGGAGGTATGTTCGATTACATCGAGTTCACTCGCATTTTGAAGCACGGCGCCAAAGACAAGGATGAGCAATAGACTGTGTCCGTTGCTTGCAATTCATCTCGATTGATCAAGAGCTGAGCGGGACCATGTATCAATCAGATCTTTGATTCTTGTCTTTCCTGTTGAAGCAGTATTGAAAATCTCTTTTAATTATCAATCCGATTTCCGTATTTAACACCTATTGCGTACTTATATTCTTACTTTGCTTTGATTTTTTATCCAGTAATAACCACTGTGAAAAACAAAAAACTATTCCATTGTTTAAGAGTAATTGTAGGAAGTTTTAATTAACACAAATAATAATATTCCACGATTGAGGTGCATTTGTAACAAAATATAAATTTATATCGTTGCTTAAGAAAATTGCGATTTTTTTACCATAATGTAAAGTTTAGAAAAATATTAAAGAAAGCTCAATTTGGCCAAGAAAATTCATGCATTCTGATTTGTTCCACCTGGGCAGACTGGTCGGATGAACGGCTTCACATTGGCGTCTGGGAATTCTTTAGATTTGAATGGAGATGCTCCCGCTTTTGCACCCAATGGGGCTTACGACGGACACGCTCTGGTGCGCCTACAGTGTGTGGAGCTGCCGGCAGTCAACCACAGTCCGGGTCTAGTATAGTCTGGTGAGGCAAACGACTTGCTTCAGTTACACTGATATGATACAGTTGAACGGGTGACACAGAAAACACAGCTAATTACTCACGTCTGCCCTTTGAGAAAGTGATTTTCCCACGGACAAGTTGGTCAAACTTTCGGCCAAGTTGTGAGGACGAGGAGTGAGTTGGCGGATTTCAAGTCCCCTGAAAGGTATTGTGTATATTTGATTGCAGCTTTTTATCGCCGGTTGGTATTTTTTTTTCTTTTGCTGGACAAAAAGGGCCATAATTCAGTGGTTGTATATTCTCAGGCGGCGTCCTTGATTCAGTTGATGCAAACGGAGAGCGCTCACTTGGCGTAATTTGTGGATGTCCCAGTGGAAATTTGTGTTTTATGTATAGGGTTGTCAGAGAGTGAAATTTATACACACAACCGCTCCCAGTTTAGATAAGTTCTTGCAAAAGAAATGAGATTATTTTCGTCTCAACAAGGAAATTAATAATGGATAATATTTTTAATTTTACTGCATAAGGTTTTATTTTGGTCATTAAAATAAAATCAATGAAATATCTTTAAAAATTTATATACTCAATGAAATTTAAAATTAATGAAGAATAAAATTATGATTCCATCATTTTTAATTCTTGGTGATTTTGCTAATTTACGATACTTTCATTCGTGACCATATTTCTTGTCACTAAATTACTTAATAAATTCGCAAAAACCAGATTTTTTATTGTACATTTACCTCCTACTGTGTGATACACTTTGAAAAATTTTAAATCATTTATAAAATTTACTCCGATCCAGCTCCGATTAAATTTAACTGCACAAGTACATATGAATTGCATTACTTTAAAAGTAATCCGAGCATAATGCGCTGAAGTGTTAATTTTTAAAGTTAATTATAATTAAAATAATTTAAAAAGTGAGGGCGCCTACAACATGCAGTGTTCCCAGGCGGTCACCCATCCAAGTACTGACTGCACTCAACGTTGCTTAACTTCGGTGATCGGACGAGAACCGGTGTATTCAACGTGATGTGGTCGTAGGCATTAGCTGCGGGGAACAGTTTACCACTACTTTCAGCGCGGTCTGAGGGGGGCCCGTTTAGCACGTTCCTTATTTTCTGGACGACACATTACCGTTTGGTGTTTTTGCGCTGACATGACGTGCCACGAATTACAATAATTATTAAAACGTGACTTTTACGTATTTTACGTGGTGGCACCTCAAAATCGAGAGGGCTCGCATTATGCTCTAAAGTGGAATGTCAGAAATTCTTTTGACTGCGGAAGAATGAAATAAAAAATTATAAAATGTTTTGTCCGAAAAATGGATACTTTTTAGTCAAAAAATTGGAACGTGGAATGTCAGCAAAAGCCAACGGAATGTCAAAGATTTTATTTATTTAATTACTTGCTAAGAATATAACCGGGAATAACAATGATTGATTTTTTATGAAATTAAAAATGGAAACAACTTGACTAAAAGTTCTACTTTATTTTTACTGCCAATAACGAAAAAAAACAGCCCACTACTGTGGCGCCAGGAAATTATTCTCTTTCGACATAGGACAATTATTAGATTGCTCTTCATTGTCAGTTCCCATCAGTTCTCCGAGTTCTCTATGCTGACTCTTGTACATATTAAATACATATTTAATTAAAAAATCAATCATTGTTATTCCCGGTTATTCTTAGCAAGTAATTAAATAAATAAAATCTTTGACATTCCGTTGGCTTTTGCTGACATTCCACGTTCCAATTTTTTGACTAAAAAGTATCCATTTTTCGGACAAAACATTTTATAATTTTTTATTTCATTCTTCCGCAGTCAAAAGAATTTCTGACATTCCACTTTAGAGCATAATGCGAGCCCTCTCGATTTTGAGGTGCCACCACGTAAAATACGTAAAAGTCACGTTTTAATAATTATTGTAATTCGTGGCACGTCATGTCAGCGCAAAAACACCAAACGGTAATGTGTCGTCCAGAAAATAAGGAACGTGCTAAACGGGCCCCCCTCAGACCGCGCTGAAAGTAGTGGTAAACTGTTCCCCGCAGCTAATGCCTACGACCACATCACGTTGAATACACCGGTTCTCGTCCGATCACCGAAGTTAAGCAACGTTGAGTGCAGTCAGTACTTGGATGGGTGACCGCCTGGGAACACTGCATGTTGTAGGCGCCCTCACTTTTTAAATTATTTTAATTATAATTAACTTTAAAAATTAACACTTCAGCGCATTATGCTCGGATTACTTTTAAAGTAATGCAATTCATGTGTACTTGTGCAGTTAAATTTAATCGGAGCTGGATCGGAGTACATTTTATAAATGATCGTTTTAAATTTTTTTTAAATGTATGCAATAGGAGGAAAATATATTAATTATAAAAAAAAATTGGAATTTTAGAGTAACTTACATGCAAGAAGGTACTTTCGGTGTTTCCCTCCGGGTTGAAATGAAATTGGTAATTGGTACAAAAACAGTCAAAACACCCGCGACGCTTGTTCCGACTAAACTTCATCTAAGTTTTTAATCTCTAACGCCATAGGAAAGAATCATAATAAATTAAATTTTGTATTTTCCAATAAAAATTAAAAATACTTATACCAACTTATTTCCAAGTTGCATTTCTGTTAATGAAAGTCATAATGAATTTGCTATTTTCTTCAATCTCTGAATCTTATTTAATTATGTATTAAATAAATTTGCATTCTCCAATTATTATTATTATTATTGAAAATCAATGTTTGGAAGAAAAAAGTAAATAAGGAACCAGAAAAATTTATTTTCATTCATTCAATATTTTTGTTTTTGATTGATATAGTTTCTGTAAACGTTAAACAGCTCTTTTCTCTTACACACGACAGCAATTTAATCCAAAATTCTATCTTCTGTCTCCATAACAATAAAAAATGGGGCGCGCGGTCTCATGCGAAACAATATCCGCAGCTCATGTTGCCGCCCAATTATTTAACCCATAATTTATGGGAAGCGGCGGAGAGCTAGGCGAGCTACTGGAGAGCTCAATTTTTTTATTACCGCCATGCGATGCCCCAACCCCTAGCTCGTTGTGGCGCCACCACTACCCCACGTACTCCTTTTACTCTCCCTTGCTTATCTCAATGAGAGGCGGTGGTGAAAGAAAGGGTTGCGACCCTTGACGAATTCCAAAAACGTATAATTGTTATTCGGTGCACGACGGAGAGGATCTCTGCGCCAAAATCCAGGCACAACTTTCATGATTTCCGTCTCGCCGGCACCTGGGGGCGAATCCGAGGGGTAGTTGGACACGCCAACCACCAACGACGATCAATAGACAAGCATGCGCGAATCTCCGCCCGCCGCCGGTTTGGGCGAAAATTCGTACAGTGCGTGTGTACAAAAAGTACATAGACTTTTTATTTTTATTTGGTGCCAACGCTGCTAATGGCCTCGTCCCTCAGCCTGAATCGAAGTAGGCAAAGAGTGGAAGGGAAAAAGGTCCGATGAGAACAAAAAGCGCCGGCGTCTGCTGTGGTATGACAGTCCGTAGAGACGCATCGGCTCCCGGCGTAATTTATCAAAGGGCGAGATAAATGACGATTTGCTTGACAGGCCATTTTGGAGAGCGCAGACTACATGTCTGATACCAAATGCTTTATTGAGCAATAAATAAGTCTCTATGTTTGTTTCACGATTTTTTTTATTGAAAATCTTGAAGACGTTGTACTTAAGGGGAATTTGTGGTTCTAATTGATATAGTGATGTCATTCATTGAATAATGCAGTGCAAAAAACAAAATTAAAAAAAAACTTTTTGTTCGAAACTTTATTTAAAAAAAATCCAATCCCAAAGTCAGCAAAGCGAAATCAAGGAACAAATTTTCAAATTAAAAAAAAAATCAAATTCAAAGTTTTTGATTAATACATGAATTTAAATTTCAGCGAGTTGAGATCTATCCTGATTCAAGCGGTTATATTTAAAATAAATTCCAATTTATTTCTGTTTTATAAGAAAGACAATGTTTCTTAAAATTTAAAATTGAATTTGGCATTTATGCTGTATTTATTTATTGTTTTGATTCTTCTCACCATGTTAATTCACATTGAAGTATGTATGTAATCAAACTATTCAAAGTTTGGCCTACACAAAGTTTTATCCGAATTCGGCTTAAGTTTTCAGCATGAAAAAAAAAGTTTCAGCAGTAAAAAGGAGCTTTTGACCATTAATTCCCTTTGATCCATCAAAGAAAAAGCAACCAGCAGGAAGTATTACGAATTTATATGCAATTGTAAATCAGCCCCGAATTCGACAAAAGCAAACATGCCCCCATATGCGAAAACGCGAGTAATTCCTCAAAGAGAACCCCTCTTTATACAAAACGACGATTTCGATCGTTTCGCGCAGTGGAAGATTAAAGAGACGAATTTCAGCAAAAGCTAGGCGTCGGCGGCACCAAAAAAAAGACGCACGTCGCTATTTTGGCCTCACGGTCGGCGCCTCGCTCTTTTTTACTTTTTTTTTATCCATTTTGATATCAGACCGACTGTGTGAGATGCGTCTGGCAGGCAGATGAAAAACTTCTTTTCCCGTGCTGTGCTGCTAAATAAACAAAATGCGCCTTATTTTATTTTCCCGTGGCGTGTTTTGCCTTTTCTCCATTGAATTCCTCCGCAGCTTGTGTGAGAGAGATTTTTCTTTTTAAGCAGCTTCGCTCCTTTATAAGGAAGTTTAAAGTCGGTTGCACTCACACACACACCCCTAAACGATCCTTTGATGGCGCGCGACGTGGTTTATGTGTCCTTTGAGCCCCTGAATGCCAGGAAACCTTTTTTAATAGAACCTCAGGCGCGCCAGAGTTTGTTATGGGAAAGTTGTTACTGGAAGGAGGCAGGAAAAGGAGCGCTCGTTTTGATACACATGGCCTCGCAGCTTTTATATTGTGTCCTATCTCTGAATAAAGGTCGAGGCCAAACCAACACATCTGGTCTGCACGCCTTGAGATGGTTTCTTTATAAAGCTAGAAATATACAGTGTCAACGACTTACTAAATAAGAAAAAAATTGATGCCGGGAAAATAAGTTAACATATAGTTCAGATTTAGTTCAAATTGGGTTAATGTTTTGGTTACACGATTTAAAAAAATAAAGTAAAAGAAATTTGAGTAATAATGTCATTCAGTTACATCACTTCAATAATAAATCTTAAAAGATGAAAATTTTAAAAATGAACTAAAAATTACAGATAAAGTTATCAAGAAAATATAATAATAATATTAAATAAAATTATTATGGCGGATCATAATAAATTTATAAGTGAAAAATAATTTTTTATACCTTAATCAAATTAAAATCCGTTTATCCATGTGGTTCATAAGGTTTTGAATTTTTTTCAAATTACAAGAAAACTTGATTTAATTTTGAGTTATTTACATACTTATTATATTATGTTTTCATCTAGTTAGAAAATAAATGTATGCGCTCTTTAATCAAATTTATCTCTCTGCGTCCCATGTGTGCAGAAATTCTCAGGTGAAAAATAAGGACATAAGCAGTGCATCTCGAGAGATGCATGTACTATAATATACACTTTCCCAGCAGCAGAATATATAGGAGGGCAGGTGGCAATTTATCACGCAACGTTGGCGTTTGGTGTAATTTATACTTATCTTTCTCGGCATGCCTCCGTTTTTCCCGCTCCATCCATTACGAAGAGACGGAAAATTCAATTTGGCTCTGCGGCTAATTTTTTCCAGCACCATCTCGCCAGCCGCTTTAATTTATTTTTCCATTTTTCAACCGGTTAGCCGAGGAATTCCTTCATTTTGCCTTTTGAGGGAATGTATAATGAATGTTTTGCGTCGAGATAACGTGCACTTTATGCGAATTCCCGCTCCAGTTCGCAGTGCACATTTAATATTTGCCGGAGCAATTTGCATGTGTTGTGTGTTGGCGCTGGTCATTAGATGAGAGCGCGATAAAGTGCAAGGTTGCGAATAAATACCTCGCTTATATTTACCAAGGATATGCAGGGTTTACAAGAGTTTTTCGAGCGAGATAAGCTCAAAATATATAATGCACTCTTTCCAAAAGGAAAAAAATGCACTTGAGATAAACAAACCAGAATGAGAGCGAGAGGAGAAGTGAGGCCCCATTTCGTAAACGCATCCACTTTAAAAGTTGAGGCTATTTCCACGCACTTCGTCATTTTTAAATTGTCTGAACAAGCAAAAGGGCTCTTTGCAAGAGAGAGCGAGAGATACTACGCGCAATTTTCTTTCATCATTTCACTCAAGATAAAGCACGAAATGCAGCTGATATCGACTTTTCTAAAGCTTCCTTTGTTCAGATTGTTTGCTTTTATTTCTTCAGGGAAAAAAACGCTATTCAATTGAATTAAATGAGATAGCATTATCTTTAATTAAAACATTCCTTACATGAAATTGTATGAAATATAACCTGTTAGTATTTTGTTTCTACTCTGGATAAAAAAAAAATTATTAAAACACTGCAATTTTGATATTTGTGTTTTCATATTATTAATCTTTTATTGATTAATTACTAGTTGTTAATCTAACAGTCTTAACTATATTTTATATAATTCAATTAATTTGAATAATGCAATTTTTTATTCTGTTTATCTTTTTACTTTGAACTAAATTTGTGTTTCTTGAAAATATTTTAATGGCAATAATATATAATAATATATTATATTGAACATCAAAAATTTAATTTATGTACAATCCAAATCAATGTCAGCAATTAAAACAATAATATTGAAATAAATCTAACACTAATTATTGTAAGTTTGTATCCGATTCGCACGCTTTCCTCGCTTTTCAGGTCCAAAATTAAAGACGATTTTCACCGTCTATTACACACAAACCGTATAGGCCGGTTGCGAGCGGGTTTTGCACAAAAAGTCCCAGCGCAATTCTAGTGCCATTAGCTCGCATGCATTCAAATGCAAATGCGCTTTGTGTGTGCCCCGTTTTCGGCGCTCGTCACGCTTTTAATTGTGCGATAAAAGGTGGCCGGCATTTACAATTTCCAGGCTCATACTACGAAGATAAATCTCTTTTTGCGTGAGTGGAATCAATCGATGACGTTGGAATTCTCCCAGTGCGCCAACTCCGCGGCGCTAGGCACGTTCGTGACGAACGCCGTCGCCGGATCCGAGAGTCGCGCGATCGAGCTAGGAAAGTGAAACTGGCGTGCAACGAACCAATGGCTCGGCTGGAATTCTATATAGGTGCACTTGAACTCCTTGAGCGTGATGGTAACATGATCGATGAATAATAATAACTTTCCATCTTATTCATTTTTTGTCTTGCCTTCGTCTAGAGGCTTCGAACTAATTCAGTTGAAATTCAACTCCTTCAATTTCAATTTATAAAATTTCAACAAAAACATTGATTTAAAATTAAATATTGTTATTTGAGTTGGTGATTATAGATAACATAACAAACGAAATTGGAAATCCATAAATATTACTTTTTTATCAGTCCAAACTTTTAAAGTGAATAAATTGCTTATTATTTTATAAAATATCTTAATAGAATATCATCGATTGCAATATTTTAAACCAAAAAGTTCCTTTAGGAATCCAAGCCACAAACTAAATTGAATTACTGAGTGAGTGAGGTGCTGGATTATTTGTAAGAATCGTAGGCTTAATTGCACTTCACACCGCCTCTTTGTTTGCAACTTTTCTCACGACTGCAGTTCTTGATACATATAATGCAATATTCAGCCGACAATGAATAAAAAATGCACCAGCCTCTTTGATTTTCTCACTAGAAAGTTAGCTCTAACACCAAGTCTCACAATCTTGTTTTCATTAATTTATCTTTTCTTATTTTCTCACATTAAATATACCTGTCTGCTCTTTTTTCATTCATCACCAAAATGTGCTCTTTATAATGCTCATGAAATATTATAGGCTTTAATCACTGACATAAAAAATTCAGATTAAATTATTTCTATAATAATTATTTCAATTTATTGCCAATCTATACCCACAAAGCTATTGTGATGTTTTACACAAGTTGACAAGCTTGCATTAAATTTTGCGAACACGCACTCACATGCCCAACAAGAGGGGTTCATTACCTCTCGAGAGTGCGAATAGCAATAAATGTGATTTATATTCCGCACACGACTGCAGAGAGCAACCGCCCAATTCCAAAGGCGCAATTTGCTAAAATTGTCCCGTCCCCTGCGTAGCTGAATGTCATACAGTGACTATAAAAGACTGAATTTGTTGCTGACAAAAACAAAACTCCCCATCAATTATTAAAGTGATCAGAAGTGGCATAAATTTTTATTACATTTTAGGGAGATGTATTTTTTACAAATTTTTTAATAACAATAACAAGTAATAAGTGATGTAACAAGAAACTTACAAATTTAAAAAAAAAAATTGTTTTTTACATTATTATTCATCTCGCGTGGCTTTAAGCCACTGGCTTATTTGGTTAGGGTCTTGAGCCTTTGAACTTTTTAAGGGGCTGAACAGAGAGGCCCGGTTGTATTTTGTCTCTCATCATTCGTATGCATCAACATTGTTTCATTCAACGGTCCTCGTCCGGTTTAGAATGAATAATTTAATATCATAACATTGAATGGACTTCCACTATTTTCATTTTAATTTTTGTTCAGGTTGGGAAAGAGACCAGGCACATTGAAAATATTTAATATTTTTTTTTCTATTTCTTTCTTTTTAAGATAAATTATGGTTAAATTCAAATCACCATGATGAATCAACCCTCGATCGTGAAATTCTACCACGTTTAATTTAATTTAATTAAGAAATTGTTGAAATTTATGCGTAGAAAAAAAAGATTCAAATTCAAAACTTGAAAAGAATTTTCTAGAATTCTGACTCATGCCAAATTTTTCGTTTTAATGATTCACACGTCCCTTTTTCTTCCTTTATTGCTTTATTTACCCAACATATATACAGTTGGAATATTCTCGCGGTTGAGCAGGCCTGTGGCGCGGTCGGGCGACGGTGTTTGTCGCGAACTGAATTTTGCAGCTGCGGATGCTCGCGCCGCTGTGCTCGCCGGTAGCTCTGCAGTTCTCAGTTGATTACGGACCGGCACGCAGTGCGGGCGACGCTCTCAGTGCCGATATCGCACAGGGCACTTGCAAACTCCCTCAACAGCCTGCCCTGACTGACTCCGTCTCGTGGTCGTGCACCAAAGCCGAGTGACACCGACACACGTGTGCGTCGCCGAGCAGCCGCAAACCCACCGGTAAGTGCGACCAAAGTTTCCCTTTCGCCGAAAAATTGCTTCGGAAAAGCTTCGTAGAAGTTCTAATACATAAGAGTTGGGGAGAAAAGCCGGCCGGGTACGATGTTGATGGGCACCCTCGGCAAAGGGTCGAGGGCCTTCCGCGCCACCCACACACTGTTGGTCTATTACGCAATAAGTGATGCACCAGAAAAAGCGAAAATTTTAGGAATTTGAATAGAAATAGATACAATTTAAAAGTTTTATTTTAACTCTGCTTATTTCTAGGGCCATTGCCCTTACTTGTATCGCGTGTGAGAAGACTTAGAGAGTCATGAGAAAACTATTATAATAAAGTTATGAAATGTTTACTTTAAAATTGGACAGTAAAAGTATTTTTTTTTTTCAAAAAAATTCAATTCCAGAAGAATCAATTTTGCTCAGAAATTTAATTACAATAATTGCAAAAAATTGAATTAAACTTTTTTCAAAACCTCCGTTATTGAAATTTTTAACTTTTCATAAATTTGGTTTTTAGGAATACTTTAAATTTAGAGTCAACTTATTGTTGTTTTTGGCCTTAAACTTCAGCCAGTTCAGATTAAATTCGTCCTCAGTGGCTCAACTCCCGAATGGTGGAGGTCGCTGGGGATTGACCTTTGACCTTGGTATGCACCCTTTCGAGTGCTCGCTTGCAATTCGGTGCCACCTTGCGGGCTTCCCTCGCGGTGTGTGTCGCGCGCTGCCTCTCGCTGGCTGTTGTGTTTACATCAGCTGCTAATAATGGCCCTGCCTTGTGTCACGGCCGTATATTTAGCACGGGGGCATAGAAAATCAAAGTGCTGGGTATTTTTAAACGGCAGCCAATCACGTGGACCGCGAGAGCAGGAAACTCGAAAAAATCCGTCTGCTCTTGCCCTCTCTATGCGTGAAAGAAAATTCCAATGAAAAAAATGGCATTCGCTTGATAATGAATGTGTAACGCGCCGCGCTGCACGCATATTCGTAAATGAATGCCAAGGCGATTCGCCGCCGAGATAACTGATGATGGGGCAACCAAGATACTTCGGTTAGATCTCTAGAGCTGGTTGAGCCGAGAAACAAATGAGCCGACGTTAAGATTATTTAGTGGGACGTCGGCGCCGTGTCGTGGCCAATACTGTGGACTCGCGGCTGCTGCCAGGGGGACTTTTTGCTGCATGAGGTCATCCATAGTTTCTGTAGCAGACACGGCTCCAAAGTTTCGGGGAGAATAAACAATCGGCACACAGACGATTCCCATTCAATTCTATTAGCCGCTGTGTGTCATAAGTCATAATTATATGAATATGACTTAATTAACAAAAATAATCAATCATTATTCAGAAAGAAAAGCAACCCCTTTAAATATACCTATTTATAAGACTCTTAATAGCATTTAAACAATGGTACAATTATTTTTTTTTTAATTTTCAATACAAAAATTATTTTTTAATTATTTGATATTGTTAATGGGCATTTTAAAAGTGGAAAAACGGTTTAAATGATATTGATCAAAAAATGAATCATAACTAAAATATTTTTTATAAATAAATTTAAAAAAAATTATGTTATGTAAAATTAATATGTTTATTATATTCTTTTTGTTAAAAGAATGGTTTTGGGGGGGGGGGTGGCGTAATAATAATATAAAATTACAAGTTATCTTGATGTGCAGCTAATTATCGGAGCACGTGCAGCCAAAGTTACATGATTGATCTCCTCGTTATGCCTCAAATCCATTTTCTTCTGCAGAGCTTTGCCCTGCCTCTCTGCTTGCTTTCATTTCTCTTCAAAAGAAGCACTTCGTCTTCTATTCACACTCGCCGGCTCGAGTTCACTCAACCAGGAATTATTGTTTTCATTGCACTGCAGCCAGAACAAAATCCTCCTGCATTACCATGGTTTATCTCTCTCCGCTGGCGATTTGGAGGTCAGATAATGCTTATTTTTTTTGTGAGAGGCGTTGGGCAAGTTGCTTTTTTTACCGCTTCCTTATCAGCAACGACATAAGCTGTCTGTTGCAAACTGCACCCAACAACAATGACGGTAATTTACAACTGATGAAAAGACGGATTTGCCAAAAGAAAAAACAAAAAAGTAATAAAATTATATGGTCGTCAGCAATTTTACTCTAATGTTTCAAAACTCTTTTTGTTGTAAAAAATTTTAATGTCTCATTAGTTCTATACAGCAACCACACATTGAAATTAAAACTTAAGATTATTATTTTAAAAATTAATGCTATTGAAATTCTAAAGAAAAAAACCTCTTAATGAAAAACATATTTTAACATGTTGCAATTTGACAAAATTCTTGTAACACTTTATTAAAATAGCTGACTTTTAAATTTAAACGGAGGTCTGCTTGTTAATTTTTTTTTTGCACTTGGTAAAGGCAATTAGAACAGAGACCGGTTGGTAGTAATTTTCACATGCAGAAGTGATTTTGTACTATTAGTTCATGAGTCGGATGCGTGTTCTTGTCTGTTGTTGGGTGCAATTATCAAAGTGATTCGACATTCTCGGCGCAAGCATGTTATTGACCTTCCATGTAGAGTGATTTCGCCATTTATAAATCGCAAATAAAGCTGCCAGTTCACGGAATGTGTCTAAAGCGAGCGGAGAAAATTGTTGTTTGTTTGTTCGTCAGACTGTGCATGTGTCGCTTTTTCACGTTCATTGCTCGCGCAAAGGCACACAGCAGTCACAAGTGAAATAGAATCTATCTCTATTACGGCACTTTTCATTTCTCCTTGAATGACTTCCTTTTTTACTGCTCTTGCGGTGGGGCTCCATGCGAATGGAATAAATAAAGAAAAATTGAATAACAAAAACAGGTAAATGGCACCAGAGAGGAGTTTTGTCACACGAAGAGTTGCTAGAAAAGTATATCAAGTGGTTTTGCGCTTCAGTTATTTCTGCGAATTTTTTTAGACGCACAAGTACAAATTTTGTGTGTGAACAAATTTTGTGAAATTTTGCAATTTATCAAACAAAACAAAACACATTTAATTTTTAATTAGCATATTATTATTACAAAGTTTTATAATTTTTAACATCTTTTAACTCTTTTACAAACAAAGAAATTCACACCTTTTAATCCAGAGAATTCAGATTTTCATGAAAGATAACTTTGTATTCTTAAGGTTGGCCAACTATTTGTAAAAGTAAAAAAAAAATTATGATCGTCGTTTCTCCTCCGAGATAAAGATTTCAAGGCTATGATTTTTATCTAAACTGGAGTTCTGGGAAGATTTTTTTTAAATATCAATTTGCAAGAAAACTTCCTCTGCGTTCGCAAATTTAGGGCACGACGAGCTGCCTCTTGGCTCAATCTAGTTAAGCCCGTGATTGAAACGCATAGATTTTCGTGACGTTACCCTTTGGCCCCACGACATCTGCTGCGGCGGCGGCGGGCAGACTGTTTTAATTACATGGCGCAGATTAGATGTTGGTGATGGTGTGATGCGGTTTATGATGTCACACACGAGCTGTGAGCCCATGTGCGCCACGCCATCAATTATATCGGGCACAAAAGCTCCGTTCATGCATTTTAGCACCAGGATTTGCTGAATTTCTGCTGACGATAAAATCAGTCGTGCCGCGCTGTGATGGTCTTTTTTACGGTCAGTTAGAAACAAGGAATGTTTAAAAACAGCTCGCTTGAATTTCCTCAACTAAATCTGTTTAGAAAAGTTCTGATTAATTCTGCAATCATTTTGGTAATTAATAGGAAAATCAAAAAATATTGAGCTTTTCTGAATTTCACATGAAAAATATGTAAATTAATCGTTTAATTTCTAGAAATAAAATTATTTATTCACTCTCCATGTATTATGGAAATTCACATATTGTCAAAAACTTTGAAAAAAACATTGACATTAAGAAAGGGAATAAAAAAATCTAAATCAGTTTCGCTAAATGTGTTTAGAAATTAATATTTTTGCAACTATTTTTATAGTTCTTCCAAAAATTTTCATTATTTGATGTCTATAAATCAAAATTTCTGAAAAGATTATAAAAAAAATTCCACGTTCTTCAACAACTTAATTTTACTTTAAATTAAAAGTTGATGCATTTGAGTGGATAATTTATATAATTGTAATTACACCGCATTAAACCTCTCATGAAAAGTCATACGCGAAATGAGAAGGATGTAACAAGTAACAAGCAATGCAATTTTCCTTCAGTACTAGCTGAGGCATGAACAGAAAAGGTACCGTACGGATGCGAAAGAGCCGGGCCGGAAGCAACGGGCCCATCTCGTGCGGAGCAAGGACCATTTTTTAACTCCTCTCTCGCGCACTCTTTTTTTCTCTCTTTTATTCGCGCAGAAAAATTTATCACTATGTGCAGCTGAGTCATAAAAGCAAATAACTCGGCGCCCAAGCGCCTATTTATTCTTGACGGTCTGGGCACGTCGCTCAGTGTACATAAAATTGAATTAGCGCGAGAGCGAAAGAAAAGAGACGTCATCCGAAGACGAAGGTGAATTTGATATTTATTCCGACTGGCCAGTGCCGCGATTCGAGATCGAGTTTCGTTTTCTCACTGTGACCCGTCGAGTGTGTCGTCTCAAAATGTAAGAGCGAGGCCCGATCAAATCCAAGTCGACAGCCAATAAAGTTCACTGCTCTGTCACTCGTCCACGCGCAATCCAATTATTGCTGGGTGGCGAATAATCTCAGGCAAGAGGATTAACTCGAAGTTATAGCCAAGAACAAACTGTTACAGGTCAAACTTTGATTTATTTGTGAAAATTTTTAAACAAAAAGTTCTGGAGTTTGATTCTGACAAAGTTTGAATTTTTTATCACTTTTTATTGTTTTATTTTCAAATATTCTAATTATTTGTAAGTTGAAGAGTCATATATTTAAAAATGATTTTTTGTTCTCTCTTTGTTTACATTCAATCAAGGTCAAAATAACGCCCACTTCTATAAGCCCTATGTTCGATTTTTTTCACCCGATATATCAAACAATGAAGATAATGCCATTTACT